TATAAGGACAGGAAAACATTCTACATGTATCAATCATATATGACTTGTGCGTTTCTGTAAGAGTAAGCTCAAGTTCAGAATCAATGCCCTGCTGCCATTTTTCGACGTCAGATTTCAATTTAAGCCGGTGGATATAAAACGGTATAAAATTCATATTGAATATAAAGCATATACAACAAAATTGAAAGAAAGTGAGTTACTTATACAATATTAAGATTTTTTATTTCTATTCCAGAAATTCTGAGTATAGTATATACTTTTTCATAAGATTATATACTTTATATACCAACTTTTAATTGCAATTTTTGAGTATTGCGCCACCTCCGTACACCAGAAAATGAAATGAAAAGGGTTTATTTGTGTACTTACTCAGTAATTGTTAATAAAATTAGTTCTATTTATAAAGTTCCAAAAATTTAGAACACCATGTTCATACAAAACTAAGCTTGTCTACGGAATTTTTTTGGACCATCCTCGTGTATCTCTTTTTGCAAGCTTAATTTTACCAGAATTATTCAAATCATAACTATAAATCACCGGCAGGGAGAATCAAGCACATTATTCCATTTGCAAAATCATTTTTCATCGATATACATTTAAATAATATATTTTATGCGGGCTATATAAGTATATTGTATCGAGTTTTGTTGAAATAAGACAAAACTGTTGGAGGAGTATTGCATTTTGACAACAACACTTGGTCAATGAAAAGATTCTTATGACTTTTTATCAGGAAAATTACTTCTTTGTATATATTAATAATTACATATAGGAAAAGTCTGTAGTAAAGAAAGCTACTCAGGGGCAGATCTAGAGGGGGAAAGGGGGGGTTCCAGAATCACCCCTTAGAATTTTCAGCATTAATAAATTTCTATGTAAAAGTGAGGAAAAAATGACCTTGGACAAGGTCCCTCTTAAAACGACAAGGGGAGTCATGTAATATTTGAAGAAAATTGAGTTAGGAAAATGTCTTCTCCTTCCCCCTCCATACCCCCCCCCCCCCGGAAAATATTCTGGATCCGCCCCTGCGATGGACAAGTCAAGCATTTCATCAATGTGAGTAGATTGACTTGTCAATTTAATTCTATTGTGATTTTTTTCGTTCTTTGTTGAAAGTATCATTGCCACTAAATATGTAATTAAAGTGTTTACTTGAGAGACCTGCAATACAAACTAATAATACACAGCAAGCACAAATGTTGCTTCTTTGGAAGCTATACATTACCTGAAGAGCCCCTAGGATGGACATTTGATTATCAGTCTATAGCAAGTAAAGCCACAGAAGTGACTTTTTTCCTCCGCCTCTGGATTAGAGTATGAAGCTATGAACACTTGTTTTGACAGCTAACCCAATATTTTCGAGACGGATGCATGACAACTGCACGTGACAGGCACGTGCGGAAACTTTACAGGGCCGGATTCATTTACCTTTCAACTCAAGTACAAGAGTATTTTTTAAAAAATATTTTTTGAGGAAGAAGCTAAAATCCCTCGGCCTACTTGTAATACCTTTAATATAAAAAAAAGCATGACTTTGTTGCCTTTTTTTACCAAAGTTTTTAAAATACGTAAAAACAATCGGCCCATGAGCCGCTATGGTTACCTGTGTCACTTTTTAAATATAGGAAATATGGGGTATGAAATGCATTTTTTGCACCAACTGATTAATGACCGACGAAATACAGAAATACTAGGACTTATACCTCATCTTCAAGTCAAGTGAACAAAAATTAACTTGCAAGAAAATGAAGAGGAAAATTTTAAGTGAGCATTAGAATGAAGACATAACTTAAAATCAAAATATTTTCATGAATTGCCGAATGAGATAATGATGAATGGTATGCAAACATATGAAGTTGTTATCTGCTGTGGATCACTAGTCTGAAAAGAATTAGAATGAACTTTACCTGCCATTACAGGCAATCGTTTTGAGGTGGTATTTAGAACAAAACAGTAAGGAAGACCCGACTCATAATCAATGATCAAAGAAAGTGTGCTATAAAGTGAATTTTTAGACAGTTGCCTGAGTTGGATTGCAATCCTTAAATTTTATCGTTTTCAACCGCTGACCTTCAGATCTGCTGCTACCTTCACATCAAATCAATGAACTTCCGAGCAGAACAAACACATTTTGAAAAGTCACAGCTATAGTTTATGCTTTTGACTTGCCACAAATTAATTAAACACAATATCAGAAAAGCCTGCTTTGCCTTTAAAACTCAGACACCAATCACACGACATCTTTAAACTCGTACTGGTGGACCCTGGACAGACCTATAATAGTCAACATTAGGAAAAAAAATCATTGCAGGAACCTTTCGAAGGCTAGTCAAGATCAGAAGCTCATTGTGACAGATGACAGTGGTAGAAAAACTCACTGCAGGAACTGGGAACTCTGGAAGGCAAATCAAAATCAAAAAGCTTAGTGTTACTTACGACGGTGATTAAAAAACTCACTACAGAATTCGTAAGTCAATACACCCATAGCCAGTCTAAATCAGCAAAATTAAAAAGCTGTTTAAAAACGAAAGACCCTCAACAAACATTCAAACAAACAAATAAAAAAAAGTTCATTTAAAATAAAAAATTAGGAAGCGGACATTCCTTTAAACCAGGTTGGATCCGCCCAAGCTTAGTTCGATTTCTTTCAAAGACAGGATTTCAAACTTTGTACACGCGTTTCACTATATTTAACTTACCCTACATTGATCTCCTCCCGATTTCACGTAACTATCTATTTTTTTATTGGTTTTATTTTGAAACACAAAATGAAACCTGAGACTTGCGTCGATAAGGTAAACATAATAAAATTTTTCATTTAGAACAAATGTTTGATATTGCCTATGAGCAAAGATAGGTATAATTAAGCACACAAACATATATAACAGATAAGAAAAAAAGATGAACCATAAAAGTTGAGTGTTTGTCTCGATATCTTGTAAGCGATATTTGTATCGACAAAAACGTCATAAGACGAAAAAATAGATGACATCATAATGGCATTTTGATTGTTCCAAGCGGAGAATCTTTGCATGTTTAAACGCCCAATTGTGGCCCGAGATATTCATCGACATCGCTTGCTTAACGTTTTGAAGACGGAAGAAGAAAAAAAGAGAAGAAAATACCATTACAATCTTATCAAAGTTTTCTCCTCATTATAAATCACGTGGTATCGATTTCATCGGATAATCTGTCTACGGCGCGTTCAGTGAAAGAAATCTTGGCCAGCTACTGCAGAATTCCCCGTTGAAAACTTCATTTTAAAAAAGTTAGGTTATCAGCGATTTGGCACAATTTATCATTGATTAGACACCGTGGTTCAATAAAAGTTTGAAAATCCAACCCTCCTAAACCATTAAATAGAATTTAATGCCTGGATAAAATTTGGAGAATCATCCCAGTCGATCTGGATTTTACTAAACTCGTATACATTATTTGAAACGTCAAACTTCAATTCATCAATTTCAATGTCTTAAACCAAAATGGCACAAACTCACAAGCTTCCACTTACTAGTAAATTATAGCCAATCAGGGAGATCTTCTCATGTCATTTTGTCATTTAAGATCCAGTCCATATATATTCTGATCTTAGATAAAGAATGTATAGGTATTGGTACAACATTGTATACAGTTTAGATAGAATAACAATCAAAGAATCATGTTCCTTTTTTTAATTGATGTTCTTCACACAAAATGTCAAAGAAAAATAAAAAGAAAAAAATGATAACCAGATTAAAAAATAAACAAAAACAAATGCCCAAGCCAACAGAAAAAAGAAAAAAATTGACAGACAATCAAACAAAATAACATTAACAAAACCTGAAGGAAAATGGAATTTTGGGATGCTATTTATAGTTTATAGTTTATCTTCTTGTTTCAGAAACTATTTAAAAAAAGAAGAAAAACATAAAACCAAGACTACGGGCGTGCTGTGTGATAATTTAAGTTCTAGGTTTTGCTATTTTTGTGGTGGTACATGTAAAATAAAGTATCCTAATGATTAAATAGCGATCTGAAATGTTTGCATGTGTCCTACTATAGGACATTTTGTCGCATATTTTAATGACCTATATATAGATTCTATGACCATGCTCGGTTTTTGGAGGATGATTAAATTTGTGCGGTTTGAGATTTATTTTCTTCCTTTTTATTTTGTATGCACTACATTCTTTTAAGAATTTATGTGATTATGACCCTTATATGTATAGATAAATCGCTAAATTAAATTTACGATTAAAGTTTTCATTTTTTTTTTTTTATCAATTCATAAAATAACATTTACAAAAGTTAAAACTAATCTAGAAATTTGTGATATTTCTAAAATTTGGCACAATAAATCTGGAATGTGTGTTTTCTCTGTCAACATTAAATATATGTAAATACACAGACCGTATTTCTAAAAAATGGTTTTAATGCACAAATAGTTTATTATTTTTATTATTTTAAATGAAAAAAATCTTTATTCGTCGATATGAACATCTCAGCAATGCAATTTCTTCAATATGTGGAAGCGTTCCAAACTACTCTTAATGTCGATTTGTTTGTGAACCATCAAACTGTAAACAGATCAATGAATAAAAAAAAAAATTAAACCTTACCTTTTTAGAAAAGCTTATATGAACATTTTATACATCTTAACTCTCTTAACCATTTTTTTATTTACTGCTATATTTTACAGAACATTGTTCATCATTTTATATTTTATGTACTATGTGAAGTACTTTAATAGAGTAATTTTAAAAATATATAATGCATTATATAAAAGCTGTCAAATAAATAAATAAATACGTGTACAGGCCCGTAGAGAGCAATTTCGCTTTGAGGGGACATTTTCAGTTTGAGGGGGGGGGGGGGGGGAACTATCAACTACCAAAAATTCTTTGACAAGCAACCTTTAATTACATCGGGATCGCCATCCTTGGTTATTTAAGTCTCGTCGTGCGCATGTGCATGTGTAAAAATTTAAAAGAAGGCGGTAGCTGGGCAGGCTCATTACTGGCATGGAGGACAGGAATGAATGGGAGCTCAGCAAAGAAAATGTCCAGCCGATCAGACAGGGCCGTCGTTTTGCTGATTTAAATGCAGCTTTACAGTCGAATGTGGATCATACCACTTTAAAACGCGAGAAACAGTAAGTCGCGTCACCGATGATTCTGCCTACATTAACAACTTTGAACAAGTGTCTGAATAGATAACATGACAGATTCACTGTATGATTTAGTTTTTACTCTAAAATTATGATTTAAGACAAATTAAGACAGAGCCTATTTGAGGTTATTTAATCCTAGTGGAAATTTGAAACAAGCGGCCATCATCAAGGTAGTTGGGAGTATTTCAGTACGGCAGTAGCCAAGTCATTTATTTGGTGGATGACTTTTAGCCAGAGTATACATGGTATAGGGTGCAAGAGATTTAATCTAGATATGGTCTTTTGCATATTTTACATTTATGTTTATTTGAAAAAAATAATCACATATATGATATACATGTATGATGTAGCTGTTTTACTAGTAGAAATGCAAGCACCAACATTTTTTTACATTAAATATTTTAGAAAAACATTGACAGGTTTATAAAATTGTTACAAGTTATTAGCAAAGATGAATATTCTACCCTATCAAAAAAGAGTCTTATTTGCTGTGTTCTCTGTTGCACATATATAGTAAACACGGGGGTCTTCTGAAGTTTTCTGGTCAGTTACTTGACTTGAATGTCGAAAGTAATTTACATGGGATTTTGGGTAAAATTTGGAAAGAAAGACAGCTATGTTGTGCATTCATTGGAATTTGAATGATTTTTTCAAATAGTTTTCATTGCAATTTTATTCTGTTTAAAAAAAGACTAGGTACAAAAGTAGATTATTTCAAAATATATCTTTCTGTTTACTAGTCAAGTCTTCAACATTGTTGCCATGGTTACTAAAAATTGAGAATCCCTGCTAAACACTACTCATAATGGTCAGATTACAATAAAACTTGGTTTACAGGTAAACTACACAAACAGTTTGTCTGTTTGAGTTGAACTTGGTACACAAATCAGGGTTTAACATTAACTTTTAGGAATACCAGACCAGTCAGACTACCTCCCATAATTTTTACTAGACCTGTGGTTCTTTTCACAAAAAAATCGTACGACATATTTTTATCTTAAGTGAAAACTTACAATAGAAATCATTTTCACAAAAATTCACAAAAATTCTTAAGAAAGTCAAAAGTGCAAAATCTGTCGTAACTTTACGAGAGCCCTTACCCTCTCTTAAGTATTTCAAAACCGATTTTATTGTAAAATATAACCGTAAAAACCAAAATACACATTAAATTGAACTTCCAATAATATTTTATATTTATTTCAAAAATATTGTCGAAAAAATTAAATGAAATACACTACAAAATATTTACAATGCAAGTTTCACTTAAGAGCCCTCTATACACTGCACACTAGAGAGTTCTGATTTTGTGGTATTTTTATGCAGATAGAGTGATCTGCCCTTTGATCAAGAATAAAATAAATTGAAATGTACAGTTTAATACTTAATTTGTGATCAAATCAAGCATTTATAACACTTTAATAGGCCAAGATGAATAGATAGAACACTTAATTTGCAGTTATTTTGCCCACTTAAGTAAACAACAGTGATTTATGCTCATCAATACTTCATTGTCTTTAAAAATTTTTCCTGGGGGTAAATGCAAGGCACCCTATGCTGAAAATGTGATAGATAAGCTCAATACTTACACCTTTACACACTATAATTTGCTCAATGTCCAAAAAATATTTTCGTCTAGTGTATAGAGGGTCCTTAAGATCTTTGTATGACCTACTTTTACGTCAAACTTGTGATTGTGACGTCAGATTTCAAACTTTCTTGCTTCACAAATGATTGCATTCGATAATTGTTGTCAATAATGTTTGTTTTGCTGACAAATATTGAAAACTAAGCTATATTTTTATTTTCATCCACTTTTTAAAGGATTAAAAAGCATATTGAGATCGTTGCTAGGGACGAAATCTGTTGTAAACAAAATCTTATGTTCAATCTGCTAGGAATGCGTTCGTGAAAAGCACTTAAGATTTGTCGTAAGAGATTCTTAAGTTAAAATCTTACGCATAATCTTAAGATTTTATGTGAAGAGTACTACTGATCATAAAATCACTAGCCCTGACCAAATTTGGAAAATTTACTTGTAAGTTCTTATGTTCACTAATGTTAATGAGGAAACTTTTGGAATTATACTTTAATGAAGACACCATCTCTCACGCATATCAAGATTTTGACAGACTAGCCAATTGAGTTGGGTTCATCGGGACATGTGAATACTATAAGCCTTAAATAACATCAACAAACTTTAATAAAATAATTATCCCAAATATAAATAAATTAAAGAATAAATTATTTGGTACTATTTATACCATATGCTGAATGATGCCGATTTCAGCCATGACTTTTCTGTTGCAGCCGTGTCTTAAAATAGAGATTATGTCATGTCAGGACTTTTTCCTTTTAAAGTATTTGAAAGACTGAAATGGGGTTTAACAGTTATTTTCGATATGACCAATCGGTCTAGTTCAAGTAGTTAGTACATTTTACACAACCAAACAACTCATATGCTAGACTGGGTCTGTCGGACGTGCTTATTGTCAAAACCTACATCAAGAATCTTTACTCAGTGCATTTTTTTTTTCAGTGAAAAATGAAAACATGGTAAATAATAGACTAAAAATAATGAAACTAAAAACAGAATCTTGTCAAAAAGTGTGCAATTTGGTTTTTAGGTCACCTGAGCCAAAGGCTCAAGTGAGCTTTTCTGATTATCGATTAAAGAGTGTCCGGCGTCCGTCTATCGTCTGTAACTTTTCACATTTTCGACTTCTTCTCATGAACCACTGGGCCAATTTCAACCAAACTTGCCACAAAGCATCCTTGGGTGAAGGGGATTTTAGTTTGTTCACTGAAAAATCATGCCCTATTTCAAGGGGAGATAATTAAAAATTTGTGAAAATTTGGTGGCATCTTTTAAAAATCTAAAAAAAAAAAGACAAAACCACTGGGCAAGAAAAACTTATGTGAAAGCTTCAGTACATACTCTAAGATTCAAGTTTGTTCATATCATAACCCCGGGGTAGGGTGGGGCCACAAGAGGGGGTCGAAGTTTTACAAAGGAATGTATGGAAAATGTTTTTAAAAATCTTCCCAAGAACAGCACAGCCATGATTAGTAATATTATAGAAGTATCCTCAGGTAGTGTAGATTCAAGTTTGTTCCAATCATGACCCCTGGGGGTAGGACAGGGCCTTACAGGCGAGGGGGTCAAAGTTTACCATAGGAATTAGTCATATTAATACAGAAGTATCCTCAGGTAGTGTAGATTCAATTTTGTTCAAATCAAGACCCCTGTGGGTTGGGTGCAGACACAACAGGGGGCCAAAGTTTTACATAGGAATATATAGGAATAATCTTAAAAAAATTTCTCCTAAAGAACAGCTAAGCCATTATTAGTCTTATTAACACAGAAGTATCCTCAGGGGTAGTGTAGATTAAAGTTTGTTCAAATCATGACTCCCGGGGGTAGGGCAGGGCCACAACAGTGGGTCAGTTTTTACGCAGGAATATATAGATGTGATGGTTAAGGGGCATTTGCTTAAAACGCATTGAAGACTTCAAATAATGGAATGACCTGACAACCCTTTGAAAGGATAGCCAAAGGGTATATAAGGCAAAGCTTTGGGAAAGTCAGGCATTCAGAAGCTAGCTGAAGAAGTCAGCCATTGAATCAGCAATAAAGAAGTTAAGGGAAAGAGCAAAATACAGTAAATTTCTTTTATAACGTACTCAGTTATAAAGTATCTCCAGATGTAAAGTAGCCATTCCGTAGTCCCGGCAAAGTGTCTATATATTTCATTGGAAAAACACCGCTTACAACATATTTGTATATATATCGTAGTATCGCTTATAAAGTACATGTATTAGAAATTCGGTCCCGTTACATAATTACACCTCTTATAACGTATGCTGACAGCTGGTTTCACACCTTTTCTATCAGCTCAGTGACTGCGGATTAGTCATGATTTGTTGACTTCATAGCTTCTCTGTAATGGGTGTTTTTCTAACGAGTATTTTGTTGTTGTTTCAGGTAGATTTATTTATAATAAATTGATTGAATAAAGTTTATCGAGTAGATGTATTTATAATAAATTGTTTGAATAAAAAATTATTTTTGAGTCAGTAAATAGCAATATAACAGAAAATAAATATAATTAAACAAGTGAAAGAAAAATACCGTGATTCAATATCAATAAACTGCGAAGACAGCGAGATTGACGAGGCTGTGCCTGACACGTGCATACCATCTACCCAGACGATCAAAGGGCATTAGTCCGAAGTTTTCACGACTCTGGCAACTCTGGAGACTTTTGTAAATAAATGTCCTCAGGCCAAACAGACAAACATTACAGACTTTTTATATGATCTGACGATCGATAAATAAAATGTTACTGAATATTAATCTTTCTTAATGTAAGAAACGAAACCAAATATACTTGTAAATCATTTACAATCTATAATACTTTAAAATAGTAATAACACACTAGCGGTTTGGAAAGTGTTTACGGTAAAGGTGTACTGAGTACTTCCGGTCTCCATTTATAACGTACACCGGTTATAAAGTAGGATTTATCACAGTCCCCTGAGATACGTTATAAAAGGTGTTTACTGTAAAAGTATAAAAGTTATAAGCACCAGTGGCAGTATCCTTAAGGAATTGATGTTAAGTTCTGGTGTAGACAATCTGAAGAAGATTTAGACACCCGGTTCTCATCTATCAATGGGAACTTAGGAGAGAAACACAGTGCAAGTAGTACCTTACCCAGTCCCCATCTCTAGATAAGAGAAAATTTAAGTACTGTGTGATTTACCTTCAGGCAGAGCTGTCTTAATAATCATTCCAATCATATATACCTTTTACCAATTGTATATTATACTTATCTAAAAACTGTATCTGTATAGATTATACATTGTTTTAGGAACTTTGAAGAGGCTTTAAGAAGTTACAGTGGAGAGGACCCTCTAGAAGTTTGGTTTGGGTAAGTATTTTCAGTGGGAGAGGGGGAGGGCTAGATTCCTCATACAATTACAGGCAACATTTATGGCTTAAGTAATATGAAATGGCAGGTTAATTGGGCAAATTTTAATTTTTTTAAGAAACAAAAAACCTTACCACTTTATGATATACTTTTGTAAAAATGCAACATTCAGATGTCAAAATGACTGGAAAAACACCAGTGTCAACTATGATTATGCAGTCATTATTTGTTCTTCAATCAAAGACATGAAACATTGACAAATGGACAATCCATGAACCCATACTGTTATCAACAGTCATGTGGGCAATATTGATTAAATTTCCCATTGTCAAGAAGAAAGTTTTAAGTAGAAATGTTGAGTAGCATGCTGAGCTATTTAATAGTCTGTCAAAAATGATATCAATGCATGTATTATTGACTAGTGCTGAGCCTTTTCATACTCTATCAAAAATGATATCAATAATATTGACTAGTGCTGAGCCTTTTCATACTCTATCAAAAATGATATCAATATTATTGACTAGTGCTGAATGATTGTTTAATTAATAGTCACCTGACTCAGGTGAGCCATTGCTTTTTGTTTTCGTTGTTGTGCAGCATGCATTGTGTGTCAGAACATTTTCAGGGTCATATATGAAACTGCCAAACTAAGTTCAACCAAATTACATGTACCGGTATTAATACTCAGCCTACTCAGGTGTCTGATAAGGTCAATTGGCCTCTTATTACTTGTAATCACAGTTGTCATAAAGTTTGTGAGAGACATGTAAGGAATTTCAGTAAATTGTGCATGAATGTCTAGGGGTTCAAAATGAAATAGCCAAATTATGATGCATCTTTTTCTTTGTGATTGTAGCTATGTTCTTTGGACTGAGCAGGCTTTCCCCAAGGGAGGAAATGAAAGTCCCCTGTGGCAGTTACTGGAACGCTGTATCAGAGAATTTAATGAAAAAGATGTTTACAAGAACGACCAGAGATATGTAGACATATGGATCCGATATGTAAGCTTATACCTAATGTAAAATTAGTAGGGATGTGCAGTATTATAGGAATATTGTGGTAGAACATATGACAACAATCAAGTAAACTTTGGTATCTTGTTATTGGATATGTCAACAATCTGGGATATGTCAGTGCTCCAAGTCACACTTATTATCAGGTCACTACATGGCGACCTAAAAATATTTTTGGTCGCCATTTCAGAATTTCTGGTTGCCATCAACAAATATCTCATTCGCCATGGCGAAAACTTTTTTTGAATAACACATTCAAGTATATTATAAAAACAAGGAACAAACACTCATATAATCATAATAATGTATGTATATGAGTGTTTGTTCCTTGTTTTTTATAATATACATGTACTTAAAATTGTTATTCAAAAAAATTTTTTCAAAACAATATGCTAGGCTGAAGGAACCACTTATGAAATACATTGTATTATGAAATGCAACCACCCCTATGGTTGTACATAGGGCACAGAAGAACACAAATGATCTGGTCCTAGGATTAAAATTACATTGTAAATAACAGTTTTTTTTCCAACAAATTTCAAGAAAATCTTTAGGACTGAACAAAGTTCTCCAGGACTGACAGAGAATACATGTCTGGTTTCAGTCTTATGTCTGAAAAACTGTGCCTCAGTTTTAACGTCAAATTATAAGAATGTGTTTCTTTTTCCTCATCAGGCCAATCTGTCTTCAGAGTCGGACGAGATCTTTAAGTTTATGCATGACCAGGGTATTGGGACAGAGTTGAGTTGTTTCTATGAGAGCTGGGCCAATGTCACAGAGTTGGGTGGAAATCCTAAGAAAGCAGACAGTATTTACCAGTTAGGGATCCGACGGGGTGCCAAACCTCTCATACAGTTACAGAAAAAACATGAGTAAGTATATGTATATGTTGGGGCAGAACACAGAAGAACATGAGTAAGTATATATTAAGAGCAGAAACTCTCATCCACACAAAACGTAATACTTGGAATCTGAAGAGTTTCCTGAAATTTGTGTAAAATGTAGATCTCTTTGTTTGCCTTTAGTCGTTTTCAGTTTCGGGTTACCCAGGGATTGGTGTAAAATGTAAATCTCTTTGTTTGCCTTTAGTCGTTTTCAGTTCTGGATTGCCCAGGGATTGGTGTAAAATGTAAATCTCTTTGTTTGTCTTTAGTCGTTTTCAGTTCCGGGTTGCCCAGGGATTGGTGTAAAATGTAAATCTCTTTGTTTGCCTTTAGACGTTTTCAGTTCTGGGTTGCCCAGGGATTGGTGTAAAATGTAAATCTCTTTGTTTGTCTTTAGTCGTTTTCAGTTCCGGGTTGCCCAGGGATTGGTGTAAAATGTAAATCTCTTTGTTTGTCTTTAGTCGTTTTCAGTTCCGGGTTGCCCAGGGATTGGTGTAAAATGTAAATCTCTTTGTTTGCCTTTAGTCGTTTTCAGTTCCGGGTTGCCCAGGGATTGGTGTAAAATGTAAATCTCTTTGTTTGCCTTTAGTCGTTTTCAGTTCCGGGTTGCCCAGGGATTAGTGTAAAATGTAAATCTCTTTGTTTGTCTTTAGTCGTTTTCAGTTCCGGGTTGCCCAGGGATTGGTGTAAAATGTAAATCTCTTTGTTTGCCTTTAGTCGTTTTCAGTTCTGGATTGCCCAGGGATTGGTGTAAAATGTAAATCTCTTTGTTTGCCTTTAGTCGTTTTCAGTTCTGGATTGCCCAGGGATTGGTGTAAAATGTAAATCTCTTTGTTTGTCTTTAGTCGTTTTCAGTTCCGGGTTGCCCAGGGATTGGTGTAAAATGTAAATCTCTTTGTTTGCCTTTAGTCGTTTTCAGTTCTGGATTGCCCAGGGATTGGTGTAAAATGTAAATCTCTTTGTTTGCCTTTAGACGTTTTCAGTTCCGGGTTGCCCAGGGATTGGTGTAAAATGTAAATCTCTTTGTTTGCCTTTAGTCGTTTTCAGTTCCGGGTTGCCCAGGGATTGGTGTAAAATGTAAATCTCTTTGTTTGTCTTTAGTTGTTTTCAGTTCCGGGTTGCCCAGGGATTGGTGTAAAATGTAAATCTCTTTGTTTGCCTTTAGACGTTTTCAGTTCCGAGTTGCCCAGGGATTGGTGGGACATGTTGAGGAGGAGGTGGAAACTCCGCCCCCTGAAATGAGGACTGCCCTCGGAAAACTCAAAACTGTTGGCAAAAAAGGACAAGCCCCTGTCTCCAGAAGTGGAAATTTTCTACAAGGTAGCAAATAAATTTTATGTGAAAAATATTTGTATAAGAAAGAGTTTGGTAACTTTTAAACAGTGTATGTTAAAAAGCAAGTTATATATCAAAGGAACAAATGAATCACTATCCTTTCACTAGATCAAAATAACTTTTTTACCAAACATTAATCTTATTTTTAATTAAATAATTTGATTCCTTTGATTTGGGGGGGGGGGGGGGGGGCTTATGTTAGTCACTTCTCTAAGTATCTACGTATATTCATTTTGTTTCTTATTTTCATTCCAAGATATTCTTAAAATTTTTGAAAAAAATGCTTTGCATCTGAATAATATTTTTAACATAATTCATGAATACATACATGTATATGTACAACAATCCTCACAAACAAGTTAATGTTATGTGTACCATGAAATATCCATGTATGTACAATCAGGCCATTCTTGGTTTTTTAGCTCACTAGAGCTGAAAGCTCAAGTGAACTTTTCTGATCACCCTTTGTTCAGCTTCCATCTGCTGCCTGTCCGTCTATAAACTTTTCAGATTTTCGACTTCTTCTCAAGAACCACTAGGCCATTTTAACCAAAAATTGGCACAAAGCATCCTTGGGTGAAGGAATTCTAAATTATTCAAATAAAGGGCCAAGTCCTATTCAAAGGGGAGATAATCAAGAAAAGGCAAAAATAACCACTGTGCCAGAAGAGATGAAACTTATGTGGAAGTTTCCTGAGGTAGTATAGATTCTAAATTGTTCAAGCTATGGCCTGGGGGTATTCCTTAAAAATCTTCCTCTCAACAACCACTGGACCAGAAGAGATGAAACTTATGTAAAAGCTTCCTGAGGTGTTGTAGATTCTAAATTCTAAATTGTTCAGAACATGGCCTTGGAGTAGAGTGGGCCACCATAGGGAATCAAAGTTTTACAGTTTTACTTTATAGGAAATAAATTTTGAAAATCTGATCAAAACCCACAGTTGCACAACATTATATACAAACGAGTGCATTTGTTTTGTTTTTTTAAATTTTGCACTGTGGGTTAGAGTTACATGTAGCTAAAACAGGGATCACATAATGCATGTATACAGAAAAGAATTTTCTTCTCGATAAATGCAAGACCAAGTTAATCATAATGATATTGAAGCATCCCATGTTGTGTGGATTCAGGGACCCTGGGAGTTAGGGCGAGGCTATAATATGGGGTCACGATTTTTTCATGGGAATTTGAATATCTTCTTTTGAAATCTGAAAAACAGCAGAACTAAAGTTACGCATATAAGTGTTGTGGCCCATGGGCCTCTTGTTCTATGTTTAGTTGCCCACATATGTCTAGATTTTTGACACCCCAGATCAGGAAAAAAAATCAGTAGTTCAGAAATTGATTATTTTGATGGAAGCCTTTGAATTTGGTCAATTTCTGTATTTGTCAAGAATCTGTCAAATGAGATATAAACATGTACTTTGCATTTGCACAAGAATATATCTTTCTACAAGAAAAATAGGGTAAAGGAATCAAATCCTCTGAATAATGTTGTTTTTATGACTATAAAGATTGTTTTTCTGTTAATGGTTAGGTAGGTTCTTGAATGATAGATGGATACTAAATCAAGAAAAATTTTGGAATGACCTTTTTATTTTCAATAAAAATACAGAATTTGGTCTCTTTTAGGTTCTGGTGGTGGAATACCACTGAAATCTCGACCAACCAGTCAGAAACAAGGGCTGGGGTTCCATGTATATACTGATGAAAACACTTCACCGTCTTATATTCCGGAAACCACAGGGGAGTGGAAGGAGATACCCAAACCGTCCGCCATAAACAAGGAGAACCGCCAGAAACCAGGGGTGTGGACATCAACTAAGGTTTGTAAACAGACAGATGTTGTTCAAAGTTTGTGCAACATTTTTTGTTTAGAACTAAGATAATGAAAAGAAGACCTTGAAATACAGAAGCTGCATTCTCTGATTTATGACAGATTTAGTCAGTCTGTGGAAATTAAATCTTCTGTTGGATCACGAGGAAGTGATTAAGACTTTTTATTGAGATGTGTGCTTGTCACTGCTTGATTTTAGGTTCCTCAGAGGGGAGCAGTTGGACTTCCACCAGTTGTTGGAAAACCTTCCTTTAGTATACATGTGGAAGAAAACTCGGACCAGCCAATGATGTAAGAGTTTTATGTAAATACATACAAAGGGTTTGACCTTTATCTTTTTTTTACATACTAGTTGGACTAGTTCCCAAGATATCTTCTACTTTTGTCTTTATACATTTATTGCATGACTGTGAGGGAGATATGAAGAGTAAATAATATTCCTGAGGGCTCTGTCTGTCAAATCAACTCTTCATATCACACAATTCACGCAGTAAATTGTATTATACTGAATCAAGTCAAACTTCTAAAAATAAACACAAACTTTAAAATTCGGGGTAATCAAGGACAAAATTCACTTTCAAATTAAAAAAAAATATCTGAAACACTTAAAGTACTGCAAATTCTGTGTGTTTCTCTGTGTTCTTTGTGTCCTATTTGTCCAGTAAAATAAGTATTCACTTGTTCTCACTTGGAATGCAGTGTGGAACTTATTAAATGATAGTTTATGTTAGGTATTCCCAGCCAAGAAAGATAACTCTGGCAAGAAATTGTTATAGTGTTTCGAAGGAGTGGGATATGATATTTCTTCCTGGGATACTTTGTTTTATTCTCCCATGTGATTGTCTAGACCAATCAAATGACACATTTTATAGAATTATTTTAATGAGGTCTAAAATTAACTTTACTAGCCTGACCTAAACAACTTGTGTCTTATTTCCTTGTTCATGCATTCTTATTTAAATCAAAGAAAAATAACGTAATAAAACATGCAGTTGAAAATGTTGCAATATCAAAATGGTAAATCTAAGAAGATACTAAGTAGTTTAAGAAAAGAGGTGTCTTTTTAAGGTTTTTTGCAGTTGAACTTATTAGGCTCATGAAAAAAAAAGCTATGTAAAGGACTGATGGTTTTGGTGATTTTAAAGTGCCATATGTCCTGATTCATGTATGCAGGATATTGTCTTCATGTTTTGTCAGATTATTTGAAATATTTACATTTCTGAGTTTACATGTTTGATATTTATTAAAAATTAATCAAGATTAACAATTAACAGAACTATTGTAATATAAAGTTGTTTTTTTTTTGTTTTATCAAATTGATCTTCATGGTTTTTTTTCTCATACAATCTTCAGCATTAAGTATTTTATGAACAGGACATGTTATTTTCTATTTAACAGGACACCAAGGAAATCGACTGGAATGGAAAATCAAGTTCTGAGGTTGTGAATCTCATCAAATTTTGTTTGAAATACTGCATAGGGGTTTAAATTCATGGGTGTATTATTTTGCTTGTAATTTAGATGTGAATGAATTCATGCAAATATAAAGTATGTCTATGATGTGCATATAAAGATTTGTCATCATCTGAATTATTCCCCATTGTCTGAATATTAATATCTTCATTGAGAGTTTGAATGGAAAATGAACACAAGGTTTTCTTTCCCCTATGTAGTATCTCAGTAATAGTATTAAATTATATTTATGTATAGAGAGTTGTAACATTTACAATATACAAAGCCTTGTGATATAATATACTTACAGTAAAACATGGTTATAGCAAACATGCTTATAATGAATTCAGCAAAGTGATTTTCAATCCCTGTGGTTTTTATGCCCCGCCATGAATATGGCCGGGGCATATAGTGTTTGTCATGTCCGTCTTCCATCCTTCTGTCCTTCCATCCTTCCGTCTGTCTTTCCGTCACACTTTGCGTTTAGCTCTGTTCAAAGCTCAGTTTCAAAGAAACCATCCAAGATATTTTTATCAAACTTCATATGCTGATAGATATTGATGAGAGCTATGCAACTGCATCAACATTTTTTGACCTTGACCTTGCCTTTGACCTTGACCTCACTTTTCTTAAATTAGTGTTTAGCTCAGTTTTAAAGATACCGTTCAAGATAGTGTAATCAAACTTCATATGTTGATACATACTGATGTAAGCTATTCAACTGCATCAACATTTTTTGACCTTTCTTTTGACCTTGACCTCACTTTTCTTAAATTAGTGTTTAGCTCAGTTTTAAAGATACCATTCAACATAGTGTTATCAAACTTCATATGCTGATACATACTGATGTAAGCTATTCAACTGCATCAATATTTTTTGACCTTGACCTTTCTTTTGACCTTGACCTCACTTTTCTTAAATTAGTTTTTAGCTCAGTTTTAATGAAACAATTCAAGATATTTTTAATAAACTTCATATGCTGATACATACTGATGAGAGCTATTCAACTGCATCAATATTTTTAACCTTGACCTTTCCTTTGACCTTGACCTCACTTTTCTTAAATTAGTGTTTAGCTCAGTTTTAAAGATACCATTCAACATAGTGTTATCAAATTTCATATGCTGATACATACTGATGAGAGCTATTCAACTGCATCAACATTTTTTGACCTTGACCTTTCTTTTGACCTTGACCTCACTTTTCTTAAATTAGTGTCAAACTTCATATGCTGATACATACTGATGAGAGCTATTCAACTGCATCAATGTTTTTTTACCTTGACCTTGACCTCACTTTTTTAAAATTACTGTTTAGCTCAGTTTTAAAGAAATCATTCATAATATTTTTATCAAACTTCATATGCTAATACATACTGATGTATCCTTTTCAACTGCATCAACAATTTTTGACCTTGACCTTTCCTTTGACCTTGACCTCACTTTTCTCAATTTGTGTTAAAATGTTGCATTACTAATATACCCTCGACGGGGCATTCATGTCCTATGGACATATTTCTAGTTAAATATATTGTAAACTTAAACGGATATAAGGAATTACGTTTATAACAAACCAAAATGGCTTGTCCCTGGCACTTCGCTAAAAGCTTGTTTTACTGTACTTTGTTCGGATAAATGTTGAGTACATTTCTTGCCAAATAAATACCGATATTTATATTTTATATTTTTAACATTTATACACACTATTTTTAGTGCTAGGAAAGCACCCAAACACACAGATCCACTCCATGATTTACGACATGCAACAGAAACAGAAGCGGGTGTCTTTGTTCCAATGTACTGTAAGGATAAAGTTTATTGTGGAATTGAGGAATTTTCATTTGAAGAAATTCGGGCTTTGAGATGGAAAGCCAAAAAACGGGCACTGGAAGACAGGAAACGTAGAGAAAAGGAAAAAGAGATAGCAGGTATTAACCCAAGAGTTTAAACCTCTAGTTTGATTAGCTAAAAAACTTTTTTTATTTTTGCTCATTTTCTTTTTTTCTTTTCTTTTATGCTGGTGTTTAATAAGTTGAAGTACTGTAGAGTTGGATGTTACCACAAAAGTCTTATTACAAGACTTTGGTATATTCTAATCCTATATTGCAATACAGGTTGTCAAGTACAGTGTATGTTATGTTGGATGTATAATTTAGATGTACATGCAACAAAAAAACTGATGTAAAATGTGCTTAAAGCGACGTAAGACATTGTCTATTTTTGTGACAAATTCATGGTTGAAATTGAAAGGGCTTCATTTTGTTTCTTGATTTATGATTTTTCACATTTTCATATAGTTTCTCATTTTTTCATGGTGAATTGCAATGTATATCATGTGTATAGTGCTTTTAGTACACTTCCAGTTAGTATTGTAGTAAGAGAATCTGAAAGATAAAAATGCAGGTTACATTTATTTATTAATATTTACATTTCCAATGTCTTTGTCCGAGATAAAATTACAAATTGTAAAAATACTTTATTTCTGCATAAATCTACTGGTTCATCGATAGGCGAAGTTAAAAAAAATTCACGTGCGGGTCAGGACAAATAGAGACGGAAGTGGGGCTATTAGCACGGGAATTTGCAGAATCAGGAGCATGTAAATATAAGGAATAACTGTCAGATTTTTTTGATTCATGACGATGATCAATCGATTGGCTTGCGTGATAATTTTATGCATAAACGCCTTCGGCGTTTATGCAAATTATCACGCAAGCGACTCGATTGATCACATCATGAATCCAAAAAATAAGACAGTTATTCCTTAATTAAATCTTTCTGAAATATCAAAAAAAAAAAAAAAAAAAAAAAAAAAAAGTGGAATGCCTCTTTTTTGCAATATTGACAATTTAAAGAGTAAGAATATTATGAATCCCAAAAATTTAATTTTTTAAATTGGAGAACATAAAAATTGTGGAATGGATGAATATAGCACTTGAATTCTCCATCTATGTTAGCCCAGCAGGAGGAGTTGTTGAGGAAACAGGAAATGATTCGTCGCCAGATGGAGGAGTTCCAGCTTCAGAGGGAACAGTTTGAGAGAGAACAGATGTCCATGTTTGCAAGACTCCAAGAAAAAATGCAGGAGCGAGAGCAGCAGCTGGAAACAGCCAGGTAAGTTCCTGAACTCTGAGAGATTATTGGTCAAGCCAGCCAGGTAAACAATCTCTGTAAAATATAGTGCAAAGATATTTTGTACATGTGAGACTTTGTTGGAACTTTATCTCTTCTCTGCTTGTGTCACAATTCTATTTAAAAGTATTTTGGTCATTGTCACTGGCTACTTCACCCTGACCTGAAAAATAGAAGAAAAACATACCAGTTAAAGACAAACATTTCCTTAGTTTATTAAATTCCACAGCCTAAGCAAATGCATGCCACATAATGACAAGTAATCCAGACTTTCTATTATGTATTAAGACATCCCCCCCCACAAACACAAACACAAACCAACCAACCAATGATGTCATTTAAAAGTAAAAGTTAGGTTCACAAATCAAAAGTCACAAATTAACCGATATGAAGGGAGATCCCTTTCCCATGTGAAACTTTGAGCCATTATTGTGGCTTCATCACACTCGGAACCAAGATTTAAACAAATCACGGTTAAAGTGAATGGCAGCTCTCTGATTAATTGGTTTGTTTTTTGATTTATTAAGTACTTACGTCATGAGAATGTATCCTTAAATTGCCTGTCTACACTTTGCATGATTAAGATTGGGATATTTGTAATGAAGCATTTATTGTGCTCATAGAAGTTACAGATTTAAGAAATAAACAGTTTAGGCATTAAAAAATTAATAACTTGGTTCTCAGGCCTGCCCGCATCTCATTTAACAATGCACATTACCCATTTTTATCCTCAAATTAATAATATAAAATTTCTCTCGTGCTCGTACGGTGCAAAAAAAAAAATTCCCCAACTGCATTTTAGATACTACCATCAGTCAAAAAGTTTGACAAACATCAAGATGATACAGACTAGTGGCTAGTTAAAAATTGCAAATTTGGCCATTGAGTTAACAGGTTCAGGCGTCAAGACTAAGTTTGGTCATGATGGCATTGATTTCAGTGCAAATTCGTAAGGGAATGACTGTATTACTTCCATGGCACATAGAGGGGGTTTTCTGAAGGCTTTTCCATGCTAGAACTTTATAACGCTATCAAAGACGGCTCCCTCAACCTTGGAACTTGGAGGTTTCCTGAAAAGCTTTAGCAAGATTTCATTTAGTGTGGGTTAACCAAAGACTGATAAATTTGACAATGTCTGGTTGTTAGGATGCATTCGTTTCATTATATGACTGTAGAAAATGCAAGAGAAAAGCAGGAAATTAGTGGTCTTGATTTCTACACTCAGTGTTGAAGCACTGTTGATTAAAAGTTGCTTGTTCTGAAATTAAGGGAAAAAAAATCAAAAATCCAGTATCTGTTTTTTATGAGGTAAAAAGGGGGGAGCCTCCCTCCCTCATTTATTTTTGACAAAACTGGCCTGAGAACAAAGTTATTAATTTTGTTAGGCCTTATGTGTAAAAAATTTTTTTTGAAGATCTTGAAATTAATATTTTCGTAGCCAGCAACATGTACAAACACAGAGAGATCAGCTAGAGAGAGATATTGAGCGTAGAATGCAACAACAGGAAACGGCCCGATCCTCTCGACAGTCTCTGTCACTTAATGATGTACAGATGGTTCAACAGACATCTGATGTGGCTCCAGCTGTGGGGAGACAATCATCCCCACATGTACACGAAGACATGGAGACCCAATCCCAGTCTCAAAACCCTCTCCAGGTGTGTATAATACAATTACCCTCTCCAGGTGTGTATAGTACAATAACCCTCTACAGGTGTGTATAGTACATTAACCCCCTCCAGGTGTGTATAATACAATAACTCTCTCCAGGTGTGTATAGTACAATAACCTAATGGTACCTCATTCTGTGTTTGTACAATACAATAACCTAATGGTATGTATAATACAATAACCTAATGGTATCCAGGGCTCTAACTGGCGACCAATTTACCATGGCACCTAAAAATTTTCCATAAGTCGCCAAATTGGTGACCATTTTAAATTGACTTGGCGATCATCGAATCCGGGAAATTTTAGCATTTTTAACAATTTTTCTGAAAAAGGAAAAAGACATTAAGGGAGCCGACTGGGGTTTTATTGTGTGAAAACTACTATAGAGAAACTCTTTAATTTTATACCATATATACCTTACATTGACTTCAGTATACATACCAAGTTTAGTGAAAATCTACCGTCTGGTTATTTTTGAGGGACCGTCTCAAAGTACAGGTACATTTACTATAGGATTATATAGGAAAATACCATTTTTTCGCACTTCGGGGTAAATTATACAAATACTACTATAGACTTTTTGCTCAGATTTTATTATTTGATGAGTAATACTATATTGTACATTTTGTGCAAGAAACACAAAATTCTACCGTCTGGTTTCCAGAGGGGGCATCTCAAAATGTCAAAATCCATGATATTTTCCGGTTTTTATGGAGTACAACAAAACATGACAGATACCACGGATTTACTTAAAAAATAATAACAATGATTGCTAGATTCTCAATTTCCTATGTTTAAAATTTCAAGAGCATATATTGTATACTTTTTATTTTATGGCATAATTAATGACCCCACTTAAAGAACTTCGGTTATTCATAACGTCAAAAACACACTATTACGACGTCTTTCTACCCATCATTTGAAAAATCGTTAAAAAAATCAGTTATTTAAAAACGTAATTAGATTTTTTAACCTAAAATTTCCTAAATTTGTTATTTTTTATAAATTATGTAAAAATAGTTGCTTTAAAAGAGTAAAAACGCTTTATTTTACCATGCTGCGCGAAGTATTGTGCAATGAAAACCCCAGTCGGCCCCCTTAAATAGAAGAGGAAATTGTTTTTGGCAATGGACATATCGTCTTTTCTTTGTCACATCATGTCTCCCTATATTGATTACTATTAACTTTTTAAATTGGCACCTTAAAAAAATTGCCTGGGCGACTAAAAATATGCATTGGCAACTGAATTTTTTTTGTAATGTGCCTAAATTTTAGAGGCCTGGTATCTCATTCTGTGTTTGCAGCACAATTTCTTTAATATTAATTGCCTTATATTTTGATATATGATTGATACTTTAAGACTTTTGATGTTGTTATCATATAAATCTACATTTTGTAGTCTGCTAAATAGTATAAATTATAAAGTGAAATAGCCTGTAATCAGTGTGTATTGTGATACTAGAAAAATTCATGACTTACATTGTATTCATAGCCAGAGTTATGGTGAATACAATAATGGCAAAGTATAAAACCTCTGATCTCAATGGAAACTTAAAATTAGTTAATTCTAGTCAGCTTGGTGACATTAACAACTCTAGCTATATATAGAATCATAAAGTGTAAGCATGAGCAGAACACTTTACAGAATTGAATTTGGGTATGAACAGAATTTACAACAAGTTTCATTCAGTAAGTTTTTCTTATTTATCAAAATGATGACACATTTTACAGACTTCCACATCAACACCAAGTAACAGGTCCTTGCTCAATTCTACTGGATCATCTGGACGTCGAACTGGACCAACACCAGATAGAAGCAAAAGGGTAAGGCATAGCTACAAACACCAGATAGAAGCAAAATAGTAAGACACAGCTACAAACATCAGATAGAAGCAAAATAGTAAGACATAGCTACAAACATCAGATAGAAGCAAAATAGTAAGACATAGCTACAAACCTCAGGTAGAAGCAAAATAGGCATAGCTACAAACATCAGATAGAAGCAAAATAGTCAGGCATAGCTACAAAAAACAGATAGAAGCAAAATAGTAAGACATAGCTACAAAAAACAGATAGAAGCAAAATAGTAAGACATAGCTACAAAAAACAGATAGAAGCAAAATAGTAAGACATAGCTATGAACACCAGATAGAAACAAAGCCAAGGCATAGATACAAATACCAGACAAATTCAAAATGATAAATCATAGCTGAAAATATTGAGAGAAGTATAGCTGAGGTTTAGCTACAAAATACCAGGTTGAAGCAAAATAGTTAGGCATAGCTAGAAAGTACACTGAAGGGTTTAGCATGATGTTCACTGAGTCAATGTTACCCTGTATAAAGTGCTATTCTTACTGCAGTTTCACTTTCTGTGGCAGAATAAAAGAAAATAGCCTAATGGGTTTTTACAGCTCTAACACATGTACATTGTACATTAACATTTACATAGTTTATGTCATTTAAGGTTACATACAGTACAGTAGTTTAATCAAATTGTAACATAAATGGGATATTAAATGTTACATTCTATAACTGTTATATCTCTCTAAATAAAAGATTCTTCAGTTAGATCTCTGATTTGTGACATTTTTTGGTTTCAGTCATTCACAGCTCTAACTGTTATATCTCTCTAAATAAAAGATTCTTCAGTTAGATCTCTAATTTGTGACATTTTTGGTTTCAGTCATTCACAGCTCTAACTGTTATATCTCTCTAAATAAAAGATTCTTCAGTTAGATCTCTGATTTGTGACATTTTTGGTTTCAGTCATTCGCAGCTCCCTCACCCACAGTTAATACGAAGGAAGCGATAAACATTGTGATGGGGATGTTCAATACTTCACTGGACTTTGGCTGGGATGATGGAGGACAAGAGACTGTGTCACTGCCTCTCCAAAATGGTGAGAGAAAATCTCTATATAATGTTTGGGAAAATGCAGTACAGCAGAGGAAATAATTTTCCAACATATATATGAAGATTTTCCCTTTTTTTTAAGATGTCAACTCTTGTAACAACTCTAATTTGTTTACAGAAGTTCCTGTGGCAACTAGTCAACCATTCGCTATTTTTGATGAAAACGCCCAGGCAGAAAAATTAGGGAAGAAAAGATTTTTAGTTCATGAAGACCAGACAGACAAAGAAAATCAGGCATTGAACACAAATCAGACCAGGTATGTCTGTACTGTGGTAGTGTAGGCAAATACATACTTTATGTTGAGATGATATATCTTACCTAAATTTGTATCTTGTTTCATAACCTTCCAATCATATAGGGTCACTTGTGATATTTACTGCCAATTGCAGGGTTTTCCCAAGAATGAAAATAGCAGGGGACATTAAAAAAGTAGAAGGGGGTTGAGAGGAAAACCAGAGTTACCGGGGTTTATATCATTATAGGTGGGGAAATTCCCCGGCCCCCAGGTCCTAGGGACAACCCTGAATTGCTTGATTCATAATTCCCAAAAAAATTCTTTAAAATGTTCGTTTATCTGAATGCAAAAATCATACATTCTGTACTAATTAAACATACTGACACAAAGTGAAAGATCAGAATGATATACATGTAAATTCATTTCTATGCTTCACTGTAGATTTGGCAAACAGGGGAGCAGTATTCCTGTCCAGTCTTTGGGACAGAGAACTAAGAAGAAGGAGAGTTCTGTTGGTGCCAGACAAAGTGATACATTTGTAAGACATTGTTTTGAAAAACATAACTGACTCAGGAATGCCAGTATGATATATATAGTTGTTATGACACTACCTTTTGTCTCCTCAGTTTGGGAAATATTTTCTTTGTGCTTTAATGTAATGGCATCAAAAGATTTATCTAATTTTAAATATTTGGGTTATAAAATATGTGTGAACAAAAACATAAGTTTTCTTTTTTATTTGGTGACACTTTACAAATGGTGAATCTTTTATAACATTATGTTTACACAGGATTTGGAAAATAAAATGGAGGGAATTGAATCACAGGGCGGATACTATGAGGATTTCACTATCGCACCAGTAGGCTCCCACCAAAGTTTTGCTGCCATGGCCAGATGTGCCTCCACACCCTTTAATGAAAATCACGAGGCTCCTCCCCCAATACCAAACCTTTCTAACATACAGGCAGATAAAACAGCCAACAACACCCCCTCCCTGCCTCTCCTCTCGCACACAGTGGACAGCCAGGCAGCCAATAGCTTCTTTCCTGATCAACAAAATCTAAGGTACTGTGTAATTAAACAGCAGTCCAGCAAGTAAGAAAAATAATCTGAATGATCATTGACTGTTTATTGCTTTGCAACAAAATTATGGTCATAATCTGGAGGATATTTAGAAAAAGGGATGTGATCGATGCAAAAAAAATATTTATTTAATGATTATCCCTAATATTAACATATTTTCACTGTAAAATAAGGTCAAATCTAGTTATTTTAAACTCAATGGGACCGAGAAAAAAAACTTCAAGATATCTGTGGGTTTGAGCTATTAAGGTTGAAATACAAAAAGAAAAAGTGAATGGGACTTTCAACTCAGTTTGACATATACCATGGTATTTAAATATCAATGAGATACCAAAATTAATCTTATAAGGACTAGAATCATCAAATCTTGTCAGGTGATGCATATTAAAACCTCGTTATATTGACTTAAAAGTAGGTCAAGATGACCTACTTTTTGAATTTTGCAGGTATTCATTTTCAAATTGATTTTGATGCACATCTTGGATACTTTGAAACCTATGATCATCAAAACTTGTCAGTTGATGCATCATGGGACCATTGAGTGTGTCAACCAAAAATTAGTTCTTGATAAGAAATTCTACAAGAAGGTCATGATGACATAATTTTTGGTTGACATTGTTGAATAAGTGAGTCAACTAATAAAGTTTGATGATTCTAAGCCTCTTAGTATCCTAAGTACTTTGAAACAACTATGGAATTCCAAATGTAGGTCACTGGAAGTGACATAGTGTTAAGGACATACTTCATTGACCCAGAATGCATCAACTGACAAAATTTGATGATTTTAAGCCTCTTATTATCCTAAAAGTGTAAAATTGAAAAAAAAAAAAAAAAGTCAAGGTAACCTACTTTTCGAAGAAACACTCAGAGGACCTAAGATGCATTAAATGATTATGGTTTGATGATCCTAAAGCCCTTATTATCAGAGATATATATAATATATATATTATATTTTATGTCATATAATAAGAGGCTTAGAGTCATCAAACTTTGTCAGTTGATGCATCTTTGGATCTCAGAGTGTGTTTACCAAAAAGTAGGTCATGGTGACCTACTCTCGGAATTTCAAGTCATATCTAAATACTGTAAATCGCTTTTTATTTGTGAGAACTTTGTTTTCATGTAATTACGCAAGTCTGTCTGCTCATGAAAGCTTTTATTCTTGCATATATTTGTATTGTTATGGTTTATATACAACAAAAAGCGTAGCTCGCATAAATTTTGTCTCGTTAATAAATATCAAATAGCTATCTCACGAAAAATAAGGTGTCACTAAAATATAGTGATCTACTGTACTAAGAGGCTTAGAATAGAAATCACAGGGTTGTACAATTATCAGAAGAGTGACTCTAGGGCTTTGGGTCTCTTCTTATTTTTTTCTTATATCCTAACAACTAAATTGCTAAGTGTCATGTCTCACTAAGATGATGGATGCAGAAGTTTTGTCATTTTTATCATTAACATTTTGATGTTTTATAAGGCAGTGGCATTGGTCATCTTTCATAAAATAACGTATTCTAGTTATTACTATCCTGTTTTATTTGTGTTAAAGCCCTATAATGGAGGGAAGTAATGAGGAATCGGACCCCAGCAGTCAGTCTCACCATCAGACTCGACAGAGTGCTACCCACCCCCAGGAGGAGAATGCTGACCCCTCTGGACAAGCTCCTCCCTTTCATCACCTGACTGTGGAGTCGGCAGTTGGACCTGACAACCTGAATCATTCCAGCCATGTTATAGACGTGTCCACGTATCACCCTCCCGAGGAGGGACTGGACATTGCTGACCAGTCAGTGTACATCGACACCCACGATCCATTTGATGCAGAGACAGTTAAGGAAATACTGGAACAACTTCCCACTTCCATCAAACTTCATCCAGGCTACCACGAGGTCCCTAGACAAATTCAGAGTATCATTTGTGGCCTCAATATCACACTAGGTCAGAAGTGATGGAGTTTATCTATCATAACTGTGTATATGTGTCTGTAACTTTGATTTGGGCCATACATTCATATTTCTATACATTTTGCAGGATCAGACATGTACGAGATCAGGGAAAAGATTGGTAAAGGAGCTTTTGCCAAGGTGTATAGTGCCACCTGTGTTTCCTTCTGTAGCACAGATTTGTTGGACTTTGATGAACACCTGGATTTCAATGAGTCGGAATCAAAACTGGTAGCATTAAAGGTAAAGCCATTAAAGCTGGATTAAATCTGAAGAAATTAATCCTGTAATTTTAATCTACAGCAGACATTTGAGATATGAAACAGACATTCATCAGTACAGAATGCTGCTGTACAGGAGAATCAGAAGTGTACTCATCAGTAAATCATAGAGTCTAACTCTGATGTCTCATATCTCTTTATAACGAATGCCAGGGATTTGTCAGATTGAAACGTATTATGAATACAGGACTTGTCTTTCATATTTTATTTAGTTATATGTATTTGACAGTATTTGCAAGATATTAAAGGTTTGGCTTTTTTTTCAGAAGTTTTTGGGTAACTTAGCAGCAAAAATGACTAGGATATGTAATTTTAGAACATAACAGGGTTTAATACCTTAGTGTTATGAATTGTTTATGATACCCAAGAAGTACCAGTTGTTTATGATGCCTGAACGGTACCAATTGTTTATGATTCCTGAGTGGTATGAATTGTTTATCAATAGCTAAGTATTTTAGTAATTGTTTATAGTGACATGGATATCTTGTAGGTCCAGAAGCCAGCTAATGTGTGGGAGTTTTATGTCTGTACGGAGATGCAGAAGAGACTACAAAGGTTACAGAGACCTGTAGATGTGGTAAGGGCTGGTATTACAAAGGTTACAGAAACCTGTATATGTGGTAAGGGCTAGTATTACAGAGGGTTACAGAAACCTGTATATGTGGTAAGGGCTGGTATTACAGAGGGTTACAGAAACCTGTAGATGTGGTAAGGGCTGGTATTACAGAGGGTTACAGAAACCTGTAGATGTGGTAAGGGCTGGTATTACAAAGATTACAGAAACCTGTAGATGTGGTAAGGGCTGGTATTACAGAGGGTTACAGAAACCTGTAGATGTGGTAAGGGCTAGTATTACAAAGGTTACAGAAACCTGTAGATGTGGTAAGGGCTGGTATTACAAAGATTACAGAAACCTGTAGATGTGGTAAGGGCTGGTATTACAGAGGGTTACAGAGACCTGTAGATGTGGTAAGGGCTAGTATTACAAAGGTTACAGAAACCTGTAGATGTGGTAAGGGCTGGTATTACAGAGGGTTACAGAAACCTGTAGATGTGGTAAGGGCTAGTATTACAAAGGTTACAGAAACCTGTAGATGTGGTAAGGGCTAGTATTACAAAGGTTACAGAAACCTGTAGATGTGGTAAGGGCTGGTATTACAGAGGGTTACAGAAACCTGTAGATGTGGTAAGGGCTAGTATTACAAAGGTTACAGAAACCTGTAGATGTGGTAAGGGCTGGTATTACAAAGATTACAGAAACCTGTAGATGTGGTAAGGGCTGGTATTACAGAGGGTTACAGAGACCTGTAGATGTGGTAAGGGCTAGTATTACAAAGGTTACAGAAACCTGTAGATGTGGTAAGGGCTGGTATTACAGAGGGTTACAGAAACCTGTAGATGTGGTAAGGGCTAGTATTACAGAGGGTTACAGAAACCTGTAGATGTGGTAAGGGCTAGTATTACAGAGGGTTACAGAAACCTGTAGATGTGGTAAGGGCTAGTATTACAAAGGTTACAGAAACCTGTAGATGTGGTAAGGGCTGGTATTACAGAGGGTTACAGAAACCTGTATATGTGGTAAGGGCTAGTATTACAAAGGTTACAGAAACCTGTAGATGTGGTAAGGGATGGTATTACAAAGGTTACAGAAACCTGTAGATGTGGTAAGGGCTAGTATTAGGAAGGTTACAGAAACCTGTAGATGTGGTAAGGGCTAGTATTACAAAGGTTACAGAAACCAGTAGATGTGGTAAGGGCTGGTATTACAGAGGGTTACAGAAACCTGTAGATGTGGTAAGGGCTGGTATTACAAAGGTTACAGAAACCTGTAGATGTGGTAAGGGCTAGTATTAGGAAGGTTACAGAAACCTGTAGATGTGCTAAGGGCTAGTATTACAAAGGTTACAGAAACCAGTAGATGTGGCAAGGGCTGGTATTACAAAGGCTACAGAAACCTGTAGATGTGGTAAGGGCTGGTATTACAGAGGGTTACAGAAACCTGTAGATGTGGTAAGGGCTGGTATTACAGAGGGTTACAGAAACCTGTAGATGTGGTAAGGGCTAGTATTACAAAGGTTACAGAAACCTGTAGATGTGGTAAGGGCTGGTATTACAGAGGGTAACAGAAGCCTGTAGATGTGGTAAGGGCTAGTATTACAAAGGTTACAGAAACCTGTAGATGTGGTAAGGGCTGGTATTACAGAGGGTTACAGAAACCTGTAGATGTGGTAAGGGCTAGTATAACAAAGGTTACAGAAACCTGTAGATGTGGTAAGGGCTGGTATTACAGAGGGTTACAGAAACCTGTAGATGTGGTAAGGGCTGGTATTACAGAGGGTAACAGAAGCCTGTAGATGTGGTAAGGGCTAGTATTACAAAGGTTACAGAAACCTGTAGATGTGGTAAGGGCTAGTATTACAAAGGTTACAGAAACCTGTAGATGCGGTAAGGGCTGGTATTACAGAGGGTAACAGAAGCCTGTAGATGTGGTAAGGGCTGGTATTACAAAGGTTACAGAAACCTGTAGATGTGGTAAGGGCTGGTATTACAGAGGGTAACAGAAGCCTGTAGATGTGGTAAGGGCTGGTATTACAAAGGTTACAGAAACCTGTAGATGTGGTAAGGGCTAGTATTACAAAGGTTACAGAAACCTGTAGATGTGGTAAGGGCTAGTATTACAGAGGGTTACAGAAACCTGTAGATGTGGTAAGGGCTAGTATTACAAAGGTTACAGAAACCTGTAGATGTGGTAAGGGCTAGTATTACAAAGGTTACAAAAACCTGTAGATGTGGTAAGGGCTGGTATTACAGAGGGTAACAGAAACCTGTAGATGTGGTAAGGGCTAGTATTACAAAGGTTACAGAAACCTGTAGATGTGGTAAGGGCTAGTATTACAAAGGTTACAGAAACCTGTAGATGTGGTAAGGGCTAGTATTACAAAGGTTACAGAAACCTGTAGATGTGGTAAGGGCTAGTATTACAAAGGTTACAGAAACCTGTAGATGTGGTAAGGGCTAGTATTACAAAGGTTACAAAAACCTGTAGATGTGGTAAGGGCTGATATTGGGAAGTTGATTTCCCATGACAGTGTCCACCAAAAAGAAATTGCTTACTTATGGGCCTCCCTCTCCTGAAATTTGAAATATTCCTTTTCAATTCTTTTGAACTTCAGTATCCCTAAGCCATTGTAACATAACACCTATGATAAACTAATTTCTTCTACACACACACACACACAAATATATATATATATATATATATATATATATATATATATATATATATATATATATATATATATATATATATATATATATATATATATATATATATATATATATATATATACGAGGGTTGTTCAAAAAGTTTGTGGACTGATGCGATAAAATTAATACTATGTAGTCTATCGTTACAAAATTTTTGATGAACATAAAACAACAAGAGTAAAAGAAATTTTGAAAATTTTAGCTTGATACCTTGAATATTTACCAAATTATCATACAATAAAAAAGACATGATATGATCAACCGGCGCTGTCGCCATTTAGTTTCATGATGTCATTGTTTTTCAATGTCCGCATTCTCTACCTCATACCCTTATCTTGATGAGTTTCCTTGGAGTTAAGTAAAGATTTAAACCTGTCTTGTTTATATGATTTTACAATGTCATAAACAGCTGATTTCAATGCATATAATATTGTAAATAGATCTGAAAGATTCTCACTTGATTATAACAGCATATTTGCTTGTCGGAGTTCAACATCTATCACACATGATCAACATCACTTTTCGGCGTAACAAACTTTGAACACTCTTACTACAAATTGACATTCACTTTTACATCTGTCGTCTCTCTAATCTTTTTCGGCGTTTAAAAACAAGTACTCTGAATGCATTTTATTTTTCAGTAGCCCATTTAAATATTTCCTAGGTCTATGCCAGTTTTTCCAGAGGGTGAAACTTTATAGAATATTGGAAAAAGAAACCCACCCCCCTTTCTAACATCATTACAACCCAATAATTGTTTGGACATTTCATATAAATTTTACGATAAAATTTCATAGAACTTACAGAATGGGGTAAAAATTGCAAATTTTACGGTACAATTGTGTCATACCACATGAGTGAATTAACGGGATTTTTGAAAGACGAATGTTCATATAAAAAAAAGAGATTTTTCTAAGTTACATTTACATGATTTAGGTAGAAAAAAGTAATCTTCGAGGTTGCGCCGCCTGGACATACCATTGCTTTCAAAAACATCAACAATTTATTAAAAAATAAAACTAATGGTGTATAATTTATTATATAAATAAGAAAGATGATGCTAATTAAACGTTAAAAAATTCGTTGATGTATCTTAAGCAGTTTTAATTTTATGGCGCTAGTCCACGAACTTTCCGAACAACCCTAGTATATATAGTTTAAGATGTGAGGAAAATAAAGTACAGGTATATGAAGCAAAGACCACCATAACATACATGTAAGTAGTTGAGAAGTATCTCAATAATGTTTATATATTTTACAGTGTCCTGCGGTAATGTTCATAGATAAAGGCTACTTTTACACGGACGCCAGCTGCCTGGTCACAGAGTTCTGTAAACATGGCTCATTACTGGTAAGTTATACACATGTATCATCTACATAAAACAGCTTGTACCCCCTTGCTTGAGTTGATGTAAAAATAACACTAGTTGGTTTAAATATCTAAAATAGAACAATATACACTCAGATTAACTATCAAATGAAATGATATGACAAAATCTAAAGAACATGATCTTTTCAATGACTGTTTATATTAATTATTTTGTAACTTTCTGAAATTTTCTGAATTATTACAGGATGTTGTGAATAAGTTTGGAGAGACTAATAAGTCTCAGGAGTTTCTGACGATGTACCTCACTATAGAACTGATGCACATGGTTGAACAGCTGCACGCCTGTCAAATCATCCATGGAGATTTGAAGCCTGACAACCTGCTAGTCAAAGGATTGTGAGTATTAAGGGATGACAATTATGTGTTAGTAAATCCTTTGGTGATCTTAATAGAAATAGGCATGTACGAAGGAGATGGGTGAACTAGGCGCGCAGAATGCCTATAGCTTCAGAGATATAAAAATAATCAGTTTGTGAATTTAGTATTTAGTGTAATGTTCTCATTATTGAAATATATGAAATTATGATAAACGAAACTTTTATGATGAAAATTTTCTCGGCAAAAATTATTCTGTTATTAAAAAAATAATGTGGTATTCAGGGGGTTCAAATCCTATCAATAAAAATCCTGGATTTCATTTTTTCTTTGAGACTAACACGCTAACCACTACGCTACACAGCTCCAGATGGATGGTGGCATTTAAATCATGTTTGTGATATGACCCTTGACTAAAGGAACTTCAAGTATTTCTGGAAAGATGCAAATGTTGTGTCATAAAAGTGTATTTTTAAGGTATAGTGGGTCTTTGCTCCATGTTTTTGTTAACTAAAAAATGTATATTTTACGCAAACTTTGAGGATAAACTTTCAAAAATATGGAGCGAAGACCCACTCATATTGAAAAATTGTGTTAAAGTATGAGAAAATGATCCTTTTTATACGCCCATCTTTAGACGGGACGTATTATGTTATGGCGTTCATGTCTGTCCGTCTGTTAGCTTTTCTCGTGTCCGGCTCATAAATTTAATACTATTAGGCCTAGGATTATCAAACTTTGTCAGCTGATACTTCTTGGGTAGAAGGTGTGTTGCGCACTAAAAGTAGGTTGTTCTGACCTTTAATTAAGATGCTATGGCCAAATATGGAAAAATCCTGTCTGGCTCATAACTAGAAAACTATTAGACTTAGAATCATCAAACTTGGCCAGTTTATGCATCTTAGGTAGAAGGTGTGTTGCGACCTATTTCAAGGTCACTGTGACCTTTAATTTAAGTGAAATTTTAAAAAAAAAACAGTCTTTTTACTATTAAATTACACAATCCCAAAAAATGTAAAAGTGTTGCAGTATCCTTATTAAAAAAATGTTAAAATCAACAAATACTTATTTTTTTCATTATATACTTTACAGCAATCTATAACAAATATTATGTTACAAGAGAAATTCCACCTCTCCCATGGGTGTAATTATCAAGCACTGGTCAAGGAGAATTTTGATAACAGAAAATTGCATGTCAAATTAGAGAGAAATTAATGAGTTAAGTGTGAGGAGCTAACTGGTAGAGCATCTCTGATCAAGCAGGTGTTATCTATATCTCTTGGGAATTGGGCAGAGGAATCAGCCATGTTGGATTAAATAGTTTTTGTGGGCTAGCCTAACTTTTAAAATGAATTTGGTGAAAAGTAATTAAAACTAATTTGATATTGTATAATAAACTAATTTGGTATCGTATAATGAACTAATTAATTAAAACTAATTATACGGGGGGGGGGGGGGGGGGGGGGGGGGTATTTGAATTGGAATTAGCATGCCCGTTGTCCATATGAATGGCAGCTTAAAACCAGTCTGACATTGAATCTAAAAAAAAAAACAAAAAAAACAGGTATTTTAAAAAAAAAAGTTTTAATTATGGTAGATAGTCCCTACAAATCTAAGAGTCAAGCATCAAGATTACAATTTTTTTTTCTTTTTATAAATCTTTGTAACAAATTGAAAAAAAAAATCTTTGTTTTCAAATTTAATTTCAGAGTGACATAAATATGCATTTTAATTGCACTACAAAGCAGATAGCGCAGATCCATTCATAACTTGGGAGTAATAAGTGGACATGCATCCAGTTAAAGATTAATTAATGAGTTCAGTGTAGGAAGGCTAGCTGTCTCAATCATTTCTGTTAGAGCATCTCTGATCAAGCAGTTCTTATCTGTATCCTTTGGGAATTAGACAGAACTGCTGGTCAGTTTATAGCATATGTCATTTGATGGCCAGTCTTTTATTTTAAAATTAAATTGGTATAGATTAAGTTGTTAAGACTAAATTGATATTGTTTAATATGATATTTTTATTTAATTTTTTAAAAATATCAACTAGCAAATTTCAGAGCATCATGTCTCACAAATATGAAAGATGTGTGTGTGTGTCACTGTGTGTGGGGGGGGTGGGGGGGGGGTGCTGCAGATGGGCATTTGTCAAGCCCTAACACTACCAGTTGAGAGGACCTATAATGTAATATTTGTTATAATGCCTACGCCACAGGAAATGTATAAACAAAAATTATAAGAAATGGAAAAATCTGGGAAATCCTTGTATCAAGGTTGACTTGATTTTCTTGCACTCTAAACTGTTCCTGATTATTGAACAATATTTGACGGGCGTATCATGCTGTGGCGGGGCACTTTATTGTCCTCTTTTGTGTTTGTGTGCTATTCCATAGGCAAATAATTTCAATCTTTGTGAGACTTTTGCAAATTATGGAGATTTTACATTAAGTATACTTTAATTTTAAATGAAATATCAAATAAAATTTTGTTAGAATTGAGATTTAATTTTTCACCTTCATGTTTGTCGCACTATAGGCATTGCGCTCGCCTTCTTCGCCCATCTTCTGTGCAATTCACATTTTTGAAAAAAATAGTTTTGTTGAATGAAGCAAATGAAAATGAACGCATTGTGGTTTGGGAAAGAATAAGATGAGAAAAGAGAAAAATAATGTTGTAAGGGAAAGATATTGAATGTCATTTCGGAGGTATAATTGACCTGGAATTACTAGAATTCATGAAAAGTTTTAGATAAATATAACAATTTTTGATATCAAAAATCTTAACAAACATATAATGTACATAATTTAGCAAAAGATGGAATTTTTTGTGTAAAATTGCTGAAAAGAAAATACCCCCCTGAAATTGAACCCCATAAGTTTGCAATTCACTAAACTGATGTATTAAGATACAGGTACAATGTAACAGGGCAGTTATAAAATTGACTTTAAACTCTGCTTTGCAATATCCAATTGAAAAGTGAAGAAAAATTACTGAGGAGCATTTCACAGTATTTATATGTAGCTGACCCTATCTTATTTCCAGCTGCCCTCTCCCTGATAGCAGGGATCCAGAAGTGGTGTTCCAGGGGAACAAGAGACCCCTCCTTCTGATTGACTTTGGACAGAGTATTGATATGTCACAATACCCACCAGGTACCACATTCATGGCCAAAGTCAAAACATCCAGCTTCATGTGTATAGAAATGCAAACCAACAGGCCCTGGACTTATCAGGTATTTGTATGTTTAGCTGGAAACTTTAAAAATAATACTACATGTATTCGGAGATTTGGAAAATTTTTAAGAAGTATCAGTAGTAACAGATTTCCTGTCAGATTTGAAAAAAAAAATTGAGGGTGGGGGTGGGTGGGTTGAGATTTGACCAATTTTCTAAAAAGTGTATGAATTGCCATTGCATACATTCTAAGATTAAAGACAAGTTCAATATTAGGCACCATAACTGATTAAAATGACCTCTTTTTTTGAAATACTTTTTATGTCTAAAACTTTAAATTTTCCATTATAAATTATACATAAAGAGTGTGAGAAACACCAGAACTTCATTTACTTACTGACACTGTCTATCATCACTTCCCATGTAAGAAAACTGAAATGAGCATTGTTTCATGTATGCTTTATGCTGGGAAAGTTAAATTTTTTTGTTCGTTTGACAGACTGATCTGTTTGGCTTGGCTGGGACCATCCACGTCTTACTGTTTGGTCAGTACATGAAAGTTTACCAGGAAAAGGAAGAATGGAAAATCACACAGTCAGTTAACAGGTATAGAAATAGGCTGTCATTGATGTCATAGGTTAAGTGGTGAAATACATGTACTCGGTCATCTGATAGATGAAATAATATGTAACAGTGATTTCACAGGTTAAGGAATAATTACATGTACAGTAAAACTTGGTTCTAGCGAAGTTGTATCAGTATTACAAATTTATTCAAGGAATGAATTTAATAGCTACCCAATTTATACGGTATAAACTGGGTTGGGGTTGTTTACACTTAATAAACCACAAAGCGGTTTATAAAGAAGCGTAAACTGTTCCAACCCAGTTTATACCATATAAATTGGGTAGTTATTAAATTCATTCCTTATAATTTTATTTTCATTCATTTAATGTAACAAAAAAAAAAAGAAAAGATGATTGCCCCAGAAATTGACTTTAAATTGTACAAAATTCAAACATAATGTCAGGAGGATCGATACTTTTTTTTGATGCAAGTCATTGTGACGTAGGCAACCCAATTTATACGATATAAAGTAAATTTTTCTTCCATTCAAAAACTGCATTATAACCAGAATTAAATTACTAAAATATATACATGTATATAAAATTCCCAATTTACATGTTTTCTTATAAGTATGACTATCAAATATTTCATTGGAAGTATTAAATACAAAAACTTGCCTTTAGGTGTAAAACTTTTCAATTAAAATGATTTCAAATAAAAGCACTGAAAAAAAATTATGTCAATTCAACAATTTAAATTGAGATCTTAAAAATTTGCTATAAAAAATGTAAATTCATAACCTCTACAGGACACAAAATTAGTTGGCTCTTTCCGTAAATTTTTAATATAAGAGTTTGTTATAACCTTTAAATTTTTAAGAACTTCTCTGGGGATCCAAAAAAACTTTCCTATTTGAGTAAATTCATTATATTTGTGTTTGTACTAAACTTGTTTTAAAGTGCTGGATTATCTGACAAAAAAATATGCTACACCATGATTTCACAGGTTAAAGCTGAACATGAAAAGGAAGAGATTTATCCTTGTCTGCCATATTTCTCTTTGTTGCTCTCTATTTGTTGAACCCCTTTATAAGCCTTTAACTTTTTCACTGTTTGAAGTATTTTGCTGTATAGATCTCACCAGTGTTGGCATACATCTTACATAGCCATTGTTACTCAGTCATGATAAAATTATCAAATGTATGCAACTTAACCATGTCAGGAGAAAAAGAAACATAACTTGGACAGGTCAGTGCATTACAAACAAACACAAATGCATATAAAACAACAAATGTAAGCACTAAAACAACACAATTCTACATGTCTGCCATGTGTTCAAGGTGTGCAATCAGGTGTTATGTATGCAAAGGATGTATATACCTTAGTGCTGATATTGGAGATAGGAAAACCAGTATGGTGTATGACTGTTTACGAGTTGTATTCAACTTTAAGGAATGAATTACATGTACTCAATTATCTGATAGTTAAAATACCGTAATACTGGTATACAGTGAATTCACATGTTAAGGAATCAAATCACACAATGATCTGAAGGAAAATCTCGGCTGAGATTCAGCAAATCTCATCCTAGATTAAGCTGACAGGTAAAAAAGGAAAGTTACAGTAAGTAATCCCTCAAACCGGTAAAAGGATAGAATAGCTACTAATCAGGTAAATTAATAATTTAGTATCAATGATCTGATAAACATACTGTATGTGTACATAAATTAGCGTATTCAAAATTTAGCGCAATCACTTGGAATGGAGTTGTTGGCGTAATCATGAATTAGCGCCGCACATATCTGTGCCGTGTATTGTATATATAAATGATTTCTTAGCGGTATTCATGAATTAGCGCATCATTGTCTGCGCCAAAGCCACTGAAATATAAAGCCCGCTTTTTTAAGTGCACATACAGTACATGCACTTGGTTCACTTCAGCTGGAAATACAGTCTTTCTTTGCTTTGTTAAGTGTGCATTGGTTCACTTAAGGCTAAGATCATTATACTCCCCACAAACGAAGTTTAGGGGGGGCATATTGGAATCAGCTTGTCCGTCTGTCTGTCTGTCTGTCTGTAGACGAGATTTTGTCCGGACCATTTCTTGGAAACTATTGCAAGGATTTGTCTGAAAATTTGTACACTTATTATTCGCTATATGAAAGTGTGCACCTGATATTTTCATCATGATTGGATAATTTTTTTGCATTTTACAGGTGTTTTTTTTTCATTTTTATTATATGGTTTTGTCCGGATCTGTTCCCAGAGACTATTGCATAGATTTGTATGAAAATTTGCACACTTATTATTTACCATATGAAGATGTGCACCTGGTATTTTCAACATTATTTGGTAATTTTTCTGCATTTTACAGTTTTTTTTTTTTCATTTTTATTGACTTAGTCATTTCGGGTTCATGTCTAAGGTTTGAGACATAGAATCTAGAACATCTGTACAAAAATGTGAACTACAGCTTAAAACAACTCATTAGAATTAAAAAAAAAAACAATCACAAAGTATTAAAAACAGTTTTTACATTACACAGCAGATAGTGTAAATCCATTTGTCCCTTCACTGTGTAGAAACGGACTAGGGTAAAGTGCGTTACCCTAGTCCAAGATGGCGACAGGCATACACTCAGTTTACACATTATACACGCTTACATTGTGTAATGCATGGTTTTAGTTTAATTATTTTAAATAGAAATGCGTAGCTATTGCAAAAAAATTGCATGATCTGTGCTGGTTATTGCCAAATTACGAGTAGAAAATTCGATCAAAATTAGGGTACCGCAAATTTACGACTAGGGTAAAGATTTTCAGACCTATTTGAGTGATTAGGGTAAAACGTGTAAAATGTCGTTTTGCCTGTTTTAGGGTTTAAAAAAATGCTATTTCAGCAGACTCAAGACGCACTCTGCTAGTAAATTCATAATTCATTGCACCAAAAACTTTGTAATTGAAAATTCTCAGTGCGGTGACAATTTCTGGAAGAGCCCAGTGATCTGATTTTGTTCAAATCAGTTTAGGTTTCTGTTTATAAAACAAATTGAGTCTTGAAAACAGTGTTCTGTTGATTTAGATACGGCGAAAAATTTTTCAAATATCTACAGATCAATTGAAGTATCATCAATGACATGTGAAAAAAAAAAACGAACAGAAATCATAGCCAAAATCCAATTTAAACAATACAAACAAGCATTCTGAGAGTATTGCATTAGCAATACTAGTCCCCTACCGGCAAGTGTAATCTGGTTCCCGTTAAGAATTGAAAATGCCATAATTCCGTCAAAAATCAGTGAAGCGGGAAGAAATGCAAACTTGATCTATAACTAATCAAGGTTAAGTCACATACCAAAAATCAGCTCAATATCTGAAAGCATTCAGAAGAAAATTGCGGAAAACCCTTAAAAATTGAAAAGGCCGTAATTCCGTCAAAAATCAATGAAGCGGAACGAATGCAAACTTGATCTGTAACTCATCAAGATACACTCACATACCAAAAATCAGCTCAATATCTGCAAGCGTTTAGGAAAAAAGTGCGGAAAACCAAGTGGGACAGACTGACAGACTGACAGACAGACAGACAGACGGACGGACAGACTCAGAGGAAACCTATAGTCCCCTCCGGTTTCACCGGTAGGGGACTAATAATGAGCAGAGCAAACATGGACCTCTGAAAAGTGAAAACAGAGGTGGGATAAGGTGCCATGGAGGAATGAACATACTCTGTCCACCGGTAAAACCTGCCGTGTACTCTTCGTCATGATCAGGTAAATGTTTGTTTGTTTATTGTTTAACGTCCCTCTCGAGAATTTTTCACTCATATGGAGACGCCACCACTTGCCGGTGGAGAGCTACAAATTTTGACCTATACTCGGCATGGAGGACCATTGAGCAGTGAGGGATCTTGCCAGCACCTACTGTGACACGGGACCTCGGTTTATACGGTCTCATCCGAAGGACTGGTCTCCACATTCCACAGTGGGATTCGAACCCACTCCGCGACTCTAGAGCGAACGCTCTAACCACTGCGCCACGCGGGCGACATCAGGTAAATGAAAAAATGACTTTACTAGCACTTTTACGCCTTATCCCAGACTGAAAAAAAAACGGGCAAAATAAACTTTGCTGTTCCTATTGAGAAAACTTTGGTAATGCATTTGTCAAGAGTAAGATAATTGCAGATTAAACTGAGCTTAGATTAAGAAAACTGGTGCAATTTTTTTTCATAAAAATTGCACCTAGGTACTTACAACATTCTTAACTCAGACAAAAAAACATTTGGTATTCAAGCATTCAATAACTTATTCTTAGAAAATCAGAACACTTAAGTTCAATCTTTCAGCAACGCATAGAAAGTCTTTCCGAACAAAACGTGCGCTCTTTTATGATGGAGGTGTTTAGTTAGACTACTATATTACATCATATTTGTCAAAATCATTTTGTAAATAGATACTGATACTGCTATGTCCTCATCATTGCACATTTGTCAATACATCCATATGTTTCGTTTTGTTCACGTATTTATGAGATTTATCAATGTTTGATATCTTCACGATTTACATAATTATACTTTAAAAGAACATCCGACACTTGTTCTCATGTTTGCGATCTAGTGTAAAAAAGTATCTTGCTGTGACCTCTAGTTTAACAATTAGATATATTGATGACGTTTTGGCAATAAACATTCAAAGATTGATTTGTTAGGTCCCATTAAACTCAATAAAAGACCCTAATATTCTCTCAAATTACATGTTTGGATGTTTTACTCCAAAAAGATATTGATTGTAAACTAAAACCAAAGCTGAAATGTTTATGATAAACGTGATGACTCCAACTCTTCTTTCATTAACTTCCCTTATTTGTGTAGCAATATGTCATTTTTTCCCTGCATATAGGGTTTGTTTCGTCAGTGGATTCGATTAGCAAAAGCATGTTTTCGTACGAACAATATCTAAAACGAGGCAGACTGCTGACGATTAAGTTGATGACACAATGGTATCAACAATTTCGTTTAAAAGCTAACATTTCGCAAATTATGTGGCCAATGCAATGATCTTGCTAGCAAATATATTATGTTGTTAGCTCGAATGTTTACTGATGTCTTTCATATAAATTGTTAGTTCATTATTTTCTTACTGAATTATGAACACATTTTCCGTTTATCCGATTACAACGAAGGATACATGGCTGAGGTGACCAATAAAAAGATGATGCCTACTCCTCATGATACCTGATCTCCCTTCTGATGTTTTCCGAGGTCCTTGTTTGTTCAGTTCACAATTTGCATTATTTATTTGGACTTTGAGCATGAATACTGTTTCTTATTTTCGCATTTCATTTGATAAAAGTTTATTTTAATTACCCGTAATGTGGATTTAACTTGGTAAACATTTTGTCACTGTCGAGTACCAACAAATGCAAATTAGAACATAGGTTGATGAATCATTTTTGATGATTTCGCTCAAAGTTGGGATTAAAGGATGCAACGTACATTTAGATTCATACAGGAAACAATACTTAAAGTTAAATCAAATAAATTAATTACACCATGTATACATGTATATTCATTTAACAATAAAATAATACATGTACATGAAACGGAAAATATAACATTCATATTAAGAGTAATATTTTGTATGAAAATTGTGGTTATTAAAAAATAGCAACCAGTATAATATCTTTGTGGAAGCAACACGTTCAAGGAAGCCTTTTCTAACTATATTAATTGTTTGTTTGTTCATTGTTGTTTAACGTCCCTCTCGAGAATTTTTCACTCATACATGTATGAAGACACCACCACTTGCCGGTGGAGAGCTGCAAATTTTGATCTATACTCGGCACTTGGGGCCATTGGGCAGTGAGGGATCTTTTTCGTGCCAGCACCTACTGCGACACGGGACTTGGGTTTATACGGTCTCATCCGAAGGACCGGTCTCCACATCCCACAGTGGGATTCGAACCCTTGACGTAAGGATCAACTCATTACTCTGCGATTCTAGAGCAAACGCTCTAACCACTGCGCCACGCGGACGACAAATATTAATTGTATAAAGCAGTTAAAAAATCAAAAACGTGCACTATCAGTTGTAGAATAAATCACTTTACCTAGTCTCGAAAAAACTTTACCCTAATCGTAAATAAATAGTTCAGAAACTTTACCCTAATCTGCAGCAAAACTTTGACACGCATTTTCTTTTTAATTACGCTAAAGTTGAATACAATCTCCATGCAAGCACGTAAAACTGAGGCTGTCCGACAGATTGATGCAAAATAAAGTAAAACTCTAAGCTAGAAATCACCAATATTTGTACGAGAAAATTTGAAGCGTTTTTGCATATCGCCATCTTGGACTAGGGTAACGCACTTTACCCTAGTCCGTTTCTACACAGTGTCCTTGGGAGTAATGAGTGGACATGCATCCAGTTAAAGATTAATTAATGAGTTCAGTGTGGGAAGCTGTTAGGGCATCTCTGATCAAGCAGGTCTTAGGCCAAATAAAAAAAAATATGTGTGGTTCCGGTAACCCGACCTTCCCTATTTTATACCCCCGACCCTAAACTTTTTTTTTACAATTATTATATTTTTTTCCGGAATTTCCCCCGATTTCCATCAATGGCTCCAGTTTAAGTTTTAGTTTCAGCAATGACGGCCTCCTTGCAAAACATAGTGCAAGTGTTTAATAGTGTTAAATCCAAAGCAAGCTAGCATGTAGGTGTCCCCTACCAATATTGACTAGTATATTATCACACCACATCTAAATGTCATTTGCAAGGCAATAAAGAAAATCATTTTGTTAAAAAAAAAAAAAAATCACTACCTACCTACCCTAATTTTTTTGGAAGTGTAACCGGAACCACACACATTTTTTTGTTTGGCCTTATCTATATCTCCTGGGAATTGGGCAGAAAGAAATAAAGATCTCTGTTGTCTAAGTCTCTTCATTGTAATTTATGTCTGTCAAAATACATAGTTACTGGAAAACCAGCCTTTTATTTTTAAAATGAGTTTGATATAAAGGTATTAAGATCAATTTGATTTTGTATAATTAATTATGATAATTTTTTTTTCAACAATCAATTTGCAGTGTCATGTCTCACAAAGATGACAGATGGTTGCAAACTATTTTTTCAATGTAATAAAAAACACTGTAATTATTAGTATTGATGATTTATTACGCTGCACCTTAGTTTCATTCATTAAAAAAATATGAGTAATTAAATTTTCACTCTAAATGTTTAAGCAAATTGTGAACACCTGTCACATCTAGAAAACATTAGTGATTTGGTACCTCCTCTGAAAAACCCGCCGGGAGGGGGGGGGGGTATTTGTCCCATTTGGACAGTTCTAGTTGTAATTATAAAGAGTTTTTTGATTTACAGGAAATTTAACCAACAATTGTGGAGGAAGATTTTCTACACTCTGTTGAATATTCCCAGCTGTGAGAAAATCCCTGATCTTTCTGCATTGAGGAGAGAATGCGAGGAATATTTTGTCAGTGCACTGTTACCTACTTATAATAAACAGATCAACAAAGTCATCTGTAAGTTGGACAGTTTGACAAGCAAATGAAAAAAACCCAGCATTTATCAAACAGCCACTGAAGAGGACTGAAAAACCAGCATTCATCAAACAGCCACTGAAGGGGCATAAAGATTTCTGTTGACTGTGTGTTTAACCTCTTGATTGCATGTGATTATAAATAGACATATATTTAATATTTGAACATCTGATAAGTCCATTCATGATGACAAGATTTTGGTCCCTGAAAACAAGCTACAATTCACCCATAGTTGAGAGGTCAGTTTGATAAAAAGTAATGTTAAACAACAATTTACTTGGAAGTTGAGAAGCATTGCAAACTGCACATGTACGTATGCAGAAGGATTCTTTTACAAGTTCTTTAGTTTATTGAACTGTTCAGTGCATATTAACTCAGCAGAAAGAGTTTAATAAAAGCACTAATCTCTTGTTCAGAACATAATCAGACATTTGTATTTCTGTGTCTAATGTGAGAAATAAGCATCTACGCTAGCTTCTCTTATCGTCAATAACCTACCTGCTAGTGCTTGCGAGCCAGCAGGGATGTGCCATGTGCATTTTTAAGCAGTGAGGCTGTATTCTCTTTAGCTTTGTATGATTTAATTCCAATATATCTTGTGTTCAGTTCATTTCTTGTTCTTTGTTGATTTGCATGATGTAAGGGCTATTCCAATAAGTCTTAACTGAAAAGGGGAAAGGAGTATGTTACAAGCATATGTAGAATAAAATTTAAAAAAAAATCAACTACTAGTAATTAATGTTAAGTCATCCCACCTATACAGAAATATTATATACATGACAATGATGTGGTGTACATGTAAATGTATGTACGAGAACATTATTTCATTCATTGTTACTTTATTCTTCAATGTACGTATGTATTCAATATATTTATACCCAAATACAGAACATGTACATGTAGTTGATTTTTTTTAAAATCATTTTTCAAGTAGATAAAGATATACTGTAGTCTTGATATTGTTTTACCTTTCATTTGCTGCAGTTTGCAAATGGAAAAGTACCTTTAACATTTTAGAGTACAAAATTTGTCATTGGAAGTATAAAAAATATGTGATATCTATTATAGTACAAAATGTATGTTGATGTTGTATTCTTGTGATGATAAATCTTTAAAGATGTAACTAGTATCATAGCATTTTATTTTTCCTTAGTAAGAAAGTTGGACGTAAAACCATGCATTGATAATGTGTAAAGTAAATCTAAATTAGCAAAATGTTTCTTTACGCATTGTGTCCCATGTATACTGCTACAAAAGGTGAAAAAATATTTGTGTGTTGAATGATATCCTTCCATCTGGTGTGTTTTAAGGCAAGAAACGAGTTGATGTTGATGGACAGGTGACAGAGATACTCTTTATACCCCCTGCAAACAAAGTTGTTTTTTTTGGGGGGGGGGGGGGGGGGGTTACATATATTGGAATCAGCATGTTTGTCTGTCCATCTGTCTGTAGATGTGATAATCTGTCCTTAAAACCATTTTCTCCTCTGCTTTGAAAGATTTTATTTTATACAGTTTAGAAGAAAAAATATATGTATGCTGAAAAAAACCCTATATTCGCCAGATTTCGACCATTGTAAGATCTTTTTATTCCCAAAACGCATGGAAACAATCCATTTCAGATATGCTATGGGAAGTACTAATCATCAGTGTCTTTTTGGCATCCCTAAAGATGAGTATGCTGAAATTTTCTGGTCATTGGTACAAAGACTTAGGACATGTATTAAGGGTGACAGGGGATACTTTGAGGGATTGAATATATTAAGAATGTGTTTTACGTAGTTTTCTTATTTTTAAATGACCTTTTCCATAATTTATTGATTGACCCTCGTTTTTTTGTAACTAAACACAACAAATATTCGGGACTCTCTTTTTTTCTGTTTTTTTTTTAATCCAAAAGGGGAGGGGGGTTGCAACCCTGGTACCCCTCTAGATCCGCCGCTGTAAAGCAAATACATGAAGGTTTAACTAATGCTAAGGGTTTACCGCAGTGCTGATATAAGAGATAGGAAAACTCATGGCGTATGCCTATTTACGTTCAGCATTAAATCTTTATTCAGATATAACCCTTGAAGAAACGGACTTCATTTATTTCTAGGTAAAGTACAAATATATCATAAAAGTGTATTTTTAAAGTATCTTAGGCCTTTTTTTCCACATTTTAAAACCAAAGAAAATTTACTTTTACTCATACTTAGAAGATAACTTTAAAAAATATAGCAAAGATCCATCCATATAGGTTTTTTCGTATGGGAAAATTGTCAGTTCGATCTGCCCTCTTTAGTATGGGCGTGCTATTACACAGACGAATTATTTCAATATTTATGAGATAGTCAAAAAAAAAAAAAAAAAAAGAGAGAGAGATTTTACATGAAGTATACACAAGTGTTAATTAATATGTCGAAGAAAATTTTGTTACGATTGGGATTTTAACGTGTTTTTTTTTTATACTTTCTCTTTTGTCGAACCATGGGTATTTTCTCCTCTTATTCAACCATGTTCTTTGAAGCATATAAAGATATGATTTTCATAAGACTGTATTTTCAGCAAACAAAGAAAAATAACATTTCCTGTAAAAACTACTAATATCATTATGCAACTCCTTCCATTTTGAATATTTTTACAAAACGTGAAAGGTTTGGAAGCAGGTTCATAGATATTAAAATGACCATACTCACAAATTCATACATGTTCACGATGCGTTCAGTGATATTTGCTAGAAGTATAATGCTCAGACTTAAGGCTTTGACCAACTGCTGTAAATGGATGAGGGATGGAAAATGGATATATGTTGTATGACATTTCCTGACATACTTTAAATGAGCGTTTATGAGTCCAAGGCGCGGACCCAGAATTTTTTTCCAAAGGGGGGAGGGAGGGAGTCCACATCAACTCTAACAGATGTCTGACTCGAAGTGGGGGGAGGGGGGGGGCAAAAACACGTAATCAACTCGCCCAAACATGAAAAGCCTATTTCTTGTGGGAGGGGGTAGAGAAAGACACTTTCCTAAGTCATTTTTCTTAAGAACACGACTCCCCTTACTGTTTTAAGAGGGTCCGTGTTTCGGGGGGGGGGGTGTTCTCTTTTTTTTTTTCATTACTTGGCGTAGAAATGTTTAACTCTGACTATCCCAAGTGTGGGGGAGGGGGGGGGGGCTGTAGTTGCAGAACTATAGCGTTATGGTTTTATATTTTAGTCTGGGCAGACTAAAATATAAAACCATAACGCTGCAGTAAGGGGGGGGGGGGGGCTGGACCCCGGCTCCCCTCTAGAACCTCGCATGAGCCTGATAAGATTTTTTTTAAGATTAGTGATAAAAAAAAGAAAGGACAGAAATATGCCTTTACATATAAGTCTATTGAACTGATCTGTCTGAGTGTATAAATTTATCTGCGGCGTATATCGGGGGGGGGGGGGGGGGGGGGTCCTGTCCTCAAGCACCTGTGTATATCACCGGAGCTTATCTAATTATCCTATTAATTCTATTAATTAGAAATTTTGCACATTTGTCTTACTTGTTCTTAATAAAATGGTGACAAATTTTCATGAATTTATCTCTTTCATTTATGGAGTGAAAGAAAATGTATGTCTCAATTATTTCCGAACACAGCCCTCGTAATATATAAAGAGAGAGAGAGAGAGAGAAATCGATCAGACTTGATTGTGAAGTATTTGAGATACTGGTATAAACAGGTTTCATTCACGTAAGTGCTTTTCGTACGTGATGTATATACATGTGTGTGAATCAATCACATTTAGCCAAGTTTGAAGACATAAATGAAAAATATGTCGGAAAACACCAGAATTTTACACGATGATGTGGAATTAAAAAAAAGTATTGTTCCCCAAAAATAAACATTTTCTTGTAGTTTCTGGGAGGGAAAATTGATTTACCCAAATGTATTACAGGGATTCGAATTTTCGAAAAAGTTTTCTGACTCAACTTCAACAGGTAAGTAAAAAGAGTAACAACAACCAGGGGATTTCACACATTATATTTATAGTCTATAGACCTTATCTTTTACATTGTAGCGCAAATTTTTAGGTCATAAAAAGTTAAGGCATTTTTTTTTAGTACAGATATTTAAAATTTTAAGAAATGAGAACCAAAACCCACATTTAACTTCACACAGAGTGAAAAACATCAGGACCGTCCTTCACATTGCGTCAGGGTAGGGTTAGACTTTTTATTACATATGTCTTGAGGAGGGAATTAAAAAAAATCCTATATATTCTTTTTTTTTATACATCCGTCTTAAGAGGAACGTATAATGGTATGGCGTTCATGTCCGTAGGTCTGTTAGCTTTATTTGTGTCCGGCTAATAATTAAGTGCTGTGAGGCCTAGAATAATCAAACTTCAGCTGATACATCTTGGGTCAAGCTCCAGGCAGCTCAGTATTACGTAACGCTACAAATTCTATATTTGTAGGGAAAATAGTCTTGCCGAACTGACACTGTATGGAGTATGATTTTGGGTAGAAGGTGCGTCGCACATTAAAAGTAGGTCGTTGTGACCCTTAATTAAGACGATATAGCTAAATATGGCAAAATCCTGTCCGGCTTATAACCGGAAATCTATTACACCGAGAATTATCAAACTAGGTCAATTGATGCATTTTAAGTGGAAGGTGTGTCGCATACTACTTCAAAGTCACTGTTTCCTTAAACAAGGTGAAATAAAATAAACTATGTTTTTAAGTTACACGATCCCAATATAAGAGTATTGCAGTTACCATATTAAAAAGTAAATCAAGGAAATACCCTTTATTTCATGATATACCATACAGCAAATCTATATAACAGATATAATGTTTCTTTTATGTCAGTTAATAAGAGGAAATTCCACTTGTCCCATAGGTGTAATTTCAAACAATGGTCTTATGGTGTTTCAAGGAAATTTGCATGTGTCAAATTAAGCGATTAATTAATGAATTTAGTGTAGGGAGATTTCTGGTACATCTCTTATCAAGCAGGTGTTATCTATAATTCCAAGTTCAAGTTCAAGTTCAATTTATTCACCCAAACCAAAATATTGGTACATGGGGTTCATTAACAACATATATACATTATATACAATCTGGTCAGAGGTACATATACAAAACAAAAAACATGACATATGATTGAAAAAGAAAATAAATAAATAAATAAGAGAGGGGAAATATATATATCAAGGAGGACAGACAGCATCATAAATTTTTAAAATAAACATACATAATTTTTTCAGCATTTTTTCATTTTTGGTTGACATTAATTCCATAAATTTAATAACATTAGGTCTGTGGGAAAAATAATTGCCCAGGTAATTTTTTCTTACATTAGCTAAAGTTTTACATTCTAAGATATAATGAAATTCATCAGCAGTTTGATTATTATTACAAAGTGTACAGATTCTATCACACAGTGGTATACCATACCATCTTCCAGTCTCTACTGGCAGATGATGATTTGCAGTTCGAAATTTTATAAATATTTTTCTAAATTTAGGAGATAACTTATCAATATAATGTTCAGATCCAAAGTTTTGTTTAAAGATTCTGTAAATCTGTCCTTTTGAAGAATTATTTACGTCACTAGACCACTTTTGAATAAATTGATCTTGTAATATTTGTGTTACAGTAGCAGTTATCCATTTATAATTCATATTGACACCCTGTTCGTACCATACATTTGATAAACCACACATATCACATATTTTCTGTATACAGTCTAACCATGGGTTTGTTAAGTTTCCATCACTGTACAGTATAAACATATGTTTGTATAAAACATTTACAATTTTATTTGGCGGGCCTGAAAAAAGCTTTGCCCAATATGAAATCATTCTACAATATACCGTAATATACAGAGGAAAGCGACCTGTTTCACCATAGACCATGTACGATGGTGTGGAACTTTTCAAATTAAATACATACTTTATAAACTTCAAGTGCAAACGCTCAATAATATCAAGATTTTCATAGCCCCATATTTCAGAGCCATATAGTAAGACTGGAACTACAACTATATCAAAAAGGTCAAATTGACAGTCTACTGGTAATTGGAATTGTCTAATTTTTCTTATAATGCCATACATCGCTTTTTGTGCTTGTTCATATAAGTGTTTTTTTGTTTTACAAAAGGAACCTGTGCGTG